TTTAAGAAAGTTAACAGAAAAAAGACTTAGGAAGGGTTGTTTCTTTGTGGCTGCACTATAAGTAACAGCTTATACACAGTCATTTGATTCTTATAAAGAATTTTATGAGCTTTAATATCAATTTCATGTAAAGTGAAGCCTCAAGTTTGACATTATGGTCGTTGGCATTAAGATTTTTAACATCTCATATTACAGATAAACACTGAAATATGTTTCTGAAACTATTTGAGGAGAGAAATAGTCAACGCAGTAACAGAATCTGGATCCAAATCTGATCAGCACTGCCTAGTTTGACAGTTTGATCTGAGTTTGGGGCGTTGAGCTGGACGGACTCACTGAGAATGAGCTGTCAATCCCAGGTAGCCCCGCCCTAAAGCATACCCTGCTTTATGGTCTGTTTTACTCTAAATGGGACCATCAGTTACTAAATGAACATCATGCTGTATGGAAGAAGACTGAAACTAGAGACTGAGACCAGAACATCACCAGGAAACTGTTTACTGAGCTCATAAATCAACTGAGAAGTCGGCTCATTTCTCCATAAGACTGAATGGTATCAGTTTTTATTGCAGCCAGTGGAGCTGCCCCCTGCTGGACATTACATAGAATGCAGGTTCAAGACACTTTATAGACCCAGAAGCTCTGTCCGTTATATATACTGTCAATGGGAGCAATCAGTCGACACTGTCGATGAGTCGCCTCCTGCAGCCATGATGGAGCTGGAGAGTGATGCAGCCTCATCCGGTGGATTTTGGGACACATCATGAATAGCTTTCATTTAGACAGAGAAAGTCGATCATGTATTGGTAGAAATGTGTGTCCATTTACCAAATTAGCATTAAATTAGATTGTTGGTTCCTCATTTAGAGCTTATTAAAGCTATATTTGCACTCATAATCATCACTTGGATGATGATGTGAGCTGTATTTACATGTTTTGCACAGTAACTTTAATTTACTGTGAATGTGGCATTAAGCTTTAACATTAACATTAGCTTTGTTTTTGAGCTTAGTGCTAAACTTAACATGCTATTTCTGTGTCTGCTGTTGTTTATTGGTGTTAGGAGTAATAATTGTTTGTGTGGTTGCTTTTGTCTCTCTGTGTTGTCGCTGTTCTGATTGTGCAGTTTCTTTTCTTGCCTTTTGTTATTGCCCCAAGGGGATTAATAAAGTAGTTCTTCTTAAGTTCTTATTACAGTCTCTGTTTCCACTTTTTCAACTGTTGTTGCTGCTTTTGCTTTGTTGTTCTCTCTTTCAGCTGTTGCTGCTCTTATGGTTATTGTTTTGGTGGGACTGGAAGTACTTTCTGAGTTGCACAAGGGAAAAAAAACATACGTATTAGACTGTCTGTTGGCGTTTAAGTTACGCCCAGAGACGATGTCAAACAGAGATGAATCTTTTACACAGTGAACACACACCAGACTCCTCAAAGAGGAACATTCACCAAAGTATAGTGAGGAGTTTCATGAATAGAGTAAGAAATTAAAGGCATCCTTCTCATCCTACAGTACTGTATGTTTCTCTCTGTGTCCTCACACAGCTGGGCCAGCAGACTTCTGGATGGATGGATGAGGGGGGGAGGGAGTTGAGGGTGAGGCGGGGGGAGTTGAGTTACATTCCTTCCATCGGGGCTGTGTGTCTGCCAACCAGGTCACTCCCAGTTCAGTCCCGGGAAATTGGGAGGGAAGAATTTCCTCTATGTGTCCATACTGGACACGGCCACAACCACACAGAGGCCTGTGTGCACCCAGGGTACATATATGTGTGTGTGTGTGTGTGTGTGTGTGTAAGATAGAAAGTGAAACTTAGATAAGAACATTTTTTCCCCCCAAAGTCCCTGAACATTTTCTCATTTTACTGACTCATATTCAATATATGCAGTTCAGTGACGAACCATTAGAACAGACTAGCTGCTGAACTGATCAAAAGAAATGAGATCCAGACACTGAAGCAACAGCTTCCAGTCATCCCTGCATCTCACCAACAACACACTGATGATGGATGCTTCCAGAAGGTTCCAGGTCTTCTGGCTCTCGCTGCATCCCAACAATAGAAAGATGGAAAGATAAACTTACGAGAACAGAAAAGGGCCGAAGTTTACTCTTCGCGTGCGATTGGTTTGTGCTGCGTTACACACATGTTGCTGTAGGTCAATGAATGTTATCCCTCCAGGGTGCCGTTCCAGTGGAGAAAACGTGATGAAATACCCTCCAGGGTGCCGTTCCGGTGGAGAAAACGTGATGAAATACCCTCTGTTTCACCGTTTCTTTATCATTTGAAATTAAGTTTGTCCGACCTGTAAGTACGTCATGCTCCGCTATGCCCACCAGCTACGTCGCTAACATTGCCTGGCTGCTGTACAGTGGGTTTATCAATGATTTTTTAAATTATTTTAAATATTTATTTATTTATTTATCTTGCTGAATACAGTTGCCTGTTGCATCTAGATTGTAGAAACATAACTGAAGAACGCAGTGAGAGTAAATCAAAACAGTAAAGTTGCTGAACATAAAACCCAAACAATTTGTTAAAAGACACTAAAACGTTACGTAGGTCTGAGGGAAGTCCAATAATTATCTGTTTGTCACCCTGAGCGAGTCATTTTACATTCACGTTCACATACACGTAGTAATTTGATCCACTGTTGATTGATTGATTATAGCAGCTTTAAAGTAACATATCATTTGGTACATTTTAAGACAGGAGGGTTGCTGTACAGTCCGTCTCATTGTGCCAGTTGTGTTTTTTTGGCTTGTTTAAACTTATTTTACTTCAGATCTACAACTCTAATGGCAAATGTTCATTTTATGCTTTTTGTGCCTTCAACTGAATTCCTGCGGAGCGACATCTGGAGCGAAGAAGACCACATATGGTAACATCCTCTTCGAGACAGGAAGTCTGGGGGTTTCTGCAAAATATGGTGTTGATTTTGAGATATAAAGATTCTGTACGTTGAAACCAACCTTATAGTTGTTGCTCATTCTTCCTCAAACAAAGCGCAAGTGAGATGAGATAACTTCACTTATTTCAAAAGCAACCTCTTCCAAGCTTTTTACTGAGAATCAATAACCCATTTTAAGACTGATAAATGACTTTTGCTGTGTTAAACACCCCCACTAGACAGTATTAACCTCCCCATAGATGTGTAAGTGTTTTCATCACATATGTCTTGTGCTATGAGCCACCTACACTCCGGGTGTAGGTACGTTCGGGACGTATGCTAATTTTGCGTCCAATGAAACATGAGCAGAGTGTTTCTGAGGGCAGATGTATAACATACATCTACTGTACATACAAACAGCCTGCGATTGAGACCATAAACTCATTACGAAACTGTTTACTGAGCTCATAAATCAACCGAGAAGTCGGCTCATTTCTCCATAAGACTGCATGGTATCTGTTTTTATTGCAGCCAATGGAGCTGCACCCTGCTGGCCGCTACATAGAATGCATGTTGTTGGCAATGGTTGCATACTGTACATATGCAGCTCTGCACACACATCATTCTGCACAGTGAAGCTCAAACTGCAGGAACAAGAAGATAAACATATTTTCTGATGTTGTGGGGGCTTTAAGTGTTTATTAGGGAGATTACCAGACGTGGAGGTACAGACAAGGAACACAGACAGGCTCAGTGTGCTTTGCTGGGGGGGTTGTGGCTGGGTCGCCGTCTGGGACAGGAAACATGTGAGCTGAATATGGGATCCGTAGAGGATTTGGCAGCCGTGCACAAACACACACACACACACACAATGCAGGAAAGATGGAAGCTCATCCAGGACACACAGGACTTGGCCCTCGCTGACGACGTGTCACAAGGAATCAAATTAGATGTTTCTGCATAGAGCGCCCCAGAACGAGGCCAGGGACTTTTTCTCAAGGAATCCACAGTTCAATCTCAAGGCTAATTTGTAAATTCAACCAGATAATTCAGATGTACTCCTGCAGGACTGCTTCCACAGCGGGTCATTCTAGGATCCCGGACCGAGGAGGGGGGTACGGTCTACTGTATCAGTATGACACATCTCCAGTCCTTCTTTGAACTTCTGATTTAGTAGTTCGTGGGAGTCACATGTATCGCTCGGGTCAAATGGCTCATGATATGACAGACATGTTACACAAGAAGGAGAGGGGGCGCTCAGAATTCAGCACTATCAAACACACACACGTCCATGAGAAAGTCTAATCTTCTCATCGTGTAACTTCTTGCATAAGCTGCATGTGCCCAACACGTGCGGAGCTCTCCGAGTACACATTACTGCCACTATATGGATACACACACACACACACACACACACACACACACACACACACACACACACACACACACACACAGGCGAATAGCATTGTTCAACAAATATAGTCCATGATGAATTACTGTCTTGTTTGAGCCCTGATAAAAAACCAGCTGCTGCTCTCCAACTATGTGTGCCGCCTTCCACGCTGCCCTGCCGTGACTCAGTGCTGAGTGGGACATCAGTGGGTCTCTTCCTAGTATCCAGCGCAGAGTGAGCGAGGGTCATTCCTCTCAGCATTGGCCCGGACTCAGTTTAGCATCATGGGAACTGCGGATAGCAGCCGGGGGGTGGGGGGGGCGACGGTCCCGGGAGGTTACACAGGAGTTCAGCTGAGTTAATCCAGCTGACAGGGTGTCCTGTCAGTCAAGATGCAGGGAACCAAATGCAGGAACTAACCTGAGAGGGGTTTTGTTTGTGGAAGACTGGACAGTGTACTCAGCTGGGGGGTCTCCACACCCAACCCGCTGAGTCAACATATAGACAGATGAGGATTTTCTGCCTTTTGCATAAGCAAGAAGATCCTGTTTGTCTGTTGGTCTCTGTGACACAGCCTGACACAACAGAGCCCCCTGCTGGCCACTCAGGCAGCTGCACCTCACCAGAAACACTATGAACTGATCAACAGTGGAACAGCAGAAGCTCAAATTTAATCAGTCAGACTTTATTTATGTAGCACATTTTCATGCAGTTTAGTGCAGTTCAAAGTCTTCAAAGTGCTTCACCGACGACTGACAGGACCATAACAAGACAGGGTAAGACCCATATTGGTTTTGAGTTTAGTTTATGATACTGCGCCTTTAGGATTCGATGGTTATGGAAAGAATTCATCCTTTATTAAAGTGAATTAGTGATAAATCACCCTCAAGCATTAATCATACATCAGTAAAAGCCTAATTTCACTCATCATCCAGGTTGATGAAGATACAGACAAACATAGGTTTGGTAACTTTTATGATAAATTAAGTGTTTTCTTTTAATTGTTCTGTTAACTGTTTGGTCGTTTGAATGCAGGATGAGGCCCTGTGAATACAGCTTGTGTTCAGGTGAAGTTTAGATCTTAAATAATAATAATAAAGTTTAAAAGTAATGATTTAATAAGTTGTCTTCAGAGAAATAAAGAAAATGTGTGTATGTTTTCTTACGTTGTCTTGCACCTATTTAAAATGAAGACCCTTGGTGAAGCTTTAGTGACCCCTAGCAGGGGACCCGACCCCCAGGTTGGGAACCACTGTATTAAGGCACTAAAGCAGATTAAAGTAAGGTGATACAACAAAAAGATAATTAACAGACCTCTTCTTTTTTAATTCTTACATGCATCTTACATCACAGACGTAACAGCTTGGAGGTTAAGAGTAGAATTTAGTCTAATATCAACATAAGGACAACAGTGTGTAAGACTCGCACACAGGTAAAGGTGAACCAGGTGGGTGGGACGTCACATGTGTCTTTATGGTGAGTGGTGTCTGTGTGGGGGATCAGAGCTGCAGCGATGGCCCAGGTGAAGGTAGCAGGAGACGCAGTGAGGAGCCACCAGGTCTGTGCAGAGGTTTACTCTGATATGGCGACTGTCAGCTCCAGCGCAGGTGAGTCAACCAAAAACGCTTTCTGTACAACTTATATTAGTCTGTTTATAGGTTTTATCCACCAATGATGATGGAGTTTCCTCTACATTTACAGAAACAGGGACCTGCAATGTAATTTTACCTTCTAGTGATTTTATATAAATTATTTTACTTATTTGTGTTACTTTGATGCAGTGTTGGTCTCCCACCATTCACTAATGTAGTATGAATTAAATGTTGTATGAAGGTCTAAAAGCTGTTTTTGAGGATATCTAGATGTATAAATTCATCAAAAACATCAACATTAAATTGAACAAAGTCTGTTTTGGTACAAAATGTTGCCTCTTAGCTTCTTTAAAATTAATCTTTTAGCCCTAAAACAACAGTACTTCCAATTCATCTGATTCTAAGAGTATTAGTCGCGAAGTTACTAATATAAAATGTTTACTCTGATAAAAGTATACAAAGCTTAGTATATAGTTTGTACTATGCAATCAAATTAAACCTAAAATAAATCCAAATAAGTAATTAAAAAAGTCCTTTTCTGACCAGGTTTGGTAAAATTAATTAAGAGGAATAAAACTGTAAGTAAGAATATACTTTTAATACCCAGCAGCCCTCTCTGTGTCGTCTCTAACCACCATGATGTGAACAAACAAGGTCGGCTCAGTCCACCAATTTGACAGATTAGTCGCTCTGTCAGTGATTGTGTTAATAATCTTGGTCAAATCCTCCAGTTTCTGGTATCTTTTTCTCACGAGCTTGTCTTTGGCAGCTAAAGCTCTGTGGCTCTCAGGTTGCCTGATGGCAGTGGGAACCATAAAGTCACTGTAATCCCTCTTTTTTCAGGCAGCCATTGGTGAAATGAAGAAGTTTTTTTTTTTTTGTATCATGCCAAGGAAGCCGAGAAACAGGAGCTGTGGAATTGTCTCCGAAAAAGTCTTTTCAGCATCGACGCAAAAAGCCTCAAACTCTCTTTCTTCATCCTGAAAACAGATATAGGCGAGCCGGCGAGGAAGGGGTCACTGTGTGAGACCTCCATGACTGTCGGCCTTGGCAGGCGCAGCAGAGCCTACCCCTCCCCGGCCAGGAGACGCCACCGCACCACCTTCAGCCACAAGCAGCTGGAGCAGCTGGAGGTGGCCTTTGGGCAAAACCAGTATCCTGACATCTACTACAGAGAGGAGCTGGCCCGCATCACCAAGCTCAATGAGGCTCGCATACAGGTGGGACAGACCTCACATTACCATTACAGTCAGTAATGCAATAAGAACAGGTATATATGTTGTCTTATGATAGTAGTTATTGTCAAATAAGTTCCCAGAAAACACTAATTGACATTTATCAAAGTTCCAGCTTCTCAAATGTGTATCATTGCGAACTGAATACACAATGTATTCACTTTATCACTGTTTTTAAATGTATAATACTGTAGGAATGCTGCAGAGTGTCCCACTTTCCTTGAAAGCATCGTCTCATTTTTGCTAAAACATTAAACAAACGTGGAGGGCCAGCGCTCAAAATACAGTTTGCAAGATAAATAAATATGATGTTGTGCATTTTATTTTAAAATGTTTGCAGAAACTACATGGCGTTATGCAGTAGTTGGACAATTTAAATTCACTTAAAAGCCTTTTTAGAGTTCAGTTCATCTGCTGGTTCAACAGTCTCTCTCTAAATTTAAGCCACGCCCACATTGATGAGGTCCTCTAACCCGTCCTTGTCCCTAACCCGTCCTTGTCCCTAACCCGTCCTTGTCCCTAACCCGTCCTTGTCTCAGCAGGTTTGGTTTCAGAACAGAAGAGCCAAGCAGCGGAAGCAGGAGCGGGCCTCGCAGAAAGCTCTCCCGGTGGGTGTGATGCCAGGCCACAGGGCGCTGCTGGGGGGCATGCACGTCCAGCAGTCCATGGCTCGACAGTACTACACCCAGCCGCTGGCTCATATACCCCGTCTCTCCCCCATGCTTCCCTCCGGGGCATACTCCCGCCACCCGGGCCCGGTCAGCCAGTGCCCCTGCCCCAGCGTCCCGCCACCGCCAGCCACCCAGCGGCAGCACGAAGACTGGTACAGCCCGCTGAGGAGCAACCTCACCTCACCCATGTTCTCCCTGGCCTCCATTCAGCCTCTGGACGCTGCGTCTCACTGGAGCTAGGAAGCAACAGAATCCAGTTTAAAAAGTCCAATAATACATCATTTTAAATCTCTATTCAGCTACAGAACACTGAGTGCTCCTTTTCATCCACCACACTGTGAGTAAACACACATTTAAGAGCAAATTCTGGCCCCAATGCTGGCTAAAACTGATTGCTGATTTCTGTTATGAATTTGCTCTCAAATGTTCACAAAAGCACCTCTTTCTTCTCCCCAGAGTCTTTGTGTAACCTCACCATTGGTATCATTTGTGCACAGATTTTATTTTGACACTCTGAACAGCCCTTTTCTTCACATTCAGTCTGGTTTTCAAAGCATTATTGCTCCCAGACACATGTATCAAAATATACTTTCAACTAAGTATTGTTCTCCTCAACATCCACTGCTAATATTAATACTGAGTGCACATGTACTGTGCACCATTTTACACATTTAAGGGGAAATGTTAATCTACACAATCTCTTGAGAAGTTGACTGTACATGAAACTTGGTTGTCCTCTCAGTACATTTATCAAATAAAGATTGATTTATTTGCAATGCCCTTTAAATGTGGTTTCATGAATGCAATGTGCTCCTCACTACAATTCATTAGAGGTTATATAAATGACATTCACTTGCTTCACCACTGGATGTCACCTTAGAACACCAACATCTCAGAAACAGCCGTAATATCGGAATCAATCGGCACCAGACTCCATAGACAAATGCAGTAATTTTACCCTAAATATCATCGTAACATCTTAACTTCATTCAAAGGGGGCAGAATCAGTCTTTGGTAGCCTTTCGTACAATCACCAACACCAGTTTGGTCTAAATAAACCCTTAATTCAGAGTTAGATGTGAAAGTATTTGTGCAACGAAAGCTAACGTTAGTCCTCGGGGACAAATCCTCCCATCAAATACATCCACTATTAGATCTTACTTTAGCCACTGAAAGACTCCCATTGATAGACACACAGATAGATAGACCTTTAGTTTAACTGGCCGTAATATCACTATCACTCTCCACCAGACTCCAGAGACAAAAACACAAATTTTACCTAGATAGAGGTAAAAACAACAGTTTCAGTCGGAGCAGACCGGCTATGGAAACAAACCACAGAGAGGCTGCGATACAACACAGGCAGAGGGAGAGAGACACCATGTGACTCTGTCTTTATATAGAGAATAAGTGTGTATCATTTATATATATATATATATAACCTTAAAAAGAAACACATCACAAGACAAGAGTGTAGATTACAGTTTTTAATATTTCACATTCCAGAGACAAAACAGTCGCATCTGTTATGCTTTCAGTTTTTTTTCCATTCAACAACCTGAATGATTGAAGAATCAATACTGATGGCAAAAATATAGAATTCATCCATACGAAATCACTTTAGAAACAATCACAGATGCATTCAACAAACGTCGAAACACACACACACGCGGAGAGAGACCTGACGTCTGTTCCAAAAGGCAGCGAATGACCTGAAGCAAACATGTTGCGTTCAATGGTTTATAACAAGTGCTTTACTGGAGGTCGTCCTTTAAAACCACTGCAGCGGCAGCGGCATCAACCAGTGTGCTTTAAGTCGAGCTTATCCAGTGGTAAAGAATCAGCAGCGTGGTGCCGCTTTACATTCACTCTTATGATTTATGTGAAGCGTCTGCCGGCTGACAGACTACAGTGAGGACGATGGTGATTGGCTCATAGAATTGTGGTAATCTTCATGAAAACAACAGCAACCTCAGGAGGAAACGCCGACGTGCCACAATGCTGGCAACAGTCAATATTGTGTTGTTCCTGCGTCCCTCCAAAAATAAACTTATACACTACACACACACACACACAAACACACACACACACTCACTCTCTAACTACGACCGGCTATATACTGTACATGTGAGCGAGTCAAGGCCACTTTCCAGTGTGATGAGGATTTGTCTCCTCCTCCTCATCACGGACAGCAAATGAAAAGGGATTCTCAGAAGGAATCGTTTGGTCCACCGTGTCGAGTATCCCTCACTGAAACACGTCTTCAAAATGTGACGACACTCTGGTCAGAAGCTACCAGAGAGAATCAACAGAAGCGCCACTGAAAGAGGAACGCACGCTACTCAGAGTTCTGCACGTATATAAAGAGTCAATTCATCCAAAATCACTAAGAAACTATATATACTGTGAAACTTCAACGTGTCTGTAATTGGAACAGGCGTCTGGGATACTTTAGTGCTCGTTGTTTCCGTAAACTGCATTGAATTTAACGTGTCCATATTGAGTTTAAACATTTATAATTAATGTAATTTTAGAGGGTTCAAATTCTAAAGAACAATCAAGAAAGCAAAGCGTCAAACCCTCGAAATTCCAGCTTTATAAACGTCTCATAGCTCCTTGACCTGCTCGTCTTCACATCCCACTGAGAGCGTTTCAGAAGTGGAGCATCGTCAGAGCGCATTGCCTGACATACGCTGTTTACTTAAGTATTTCATCCTTTTAAAAAAAAGGAAACAAAAACGATGCGTTTCTCCACTAACCTGCCTCTGACTGACCGACTTCCTGCCTGTGATCTGCTCTGTAGCCACCCCCCCCCCACAGAAATCTCTGCTACCACTCCGATACAAAGGAGCTAAATTAAGTTTGCGATGCTCAACGAACAAAGAATGAAATGAAGTGATGTTTATGTTGCTCTGGGACGTCCACAGACCTCCATGTGGACACTTTTCGAGAGAGTGTTGGGTTTTTAAGTGATTTTGGGTGAACTGACCCTTTACAAACCTACACAGGAAGAAGGTGCAGAGGTCATAAAAGGGTAATTTCCTCCTGACACAACCAGTTTCGCTGCTACCAGCTTGGCGATACACGAAATAAGAAGTATCACAAGCTCAGAAAGTACGAAAATAATTCCTTCATAAATCACCAATAATCGTGATTGATCGCCTGTGAGGGAGAAAGCAGATTAAACAAATGGGTTTTTTTTTTATGGCAGCTTCTCAGTTGGACCCTCTGAGTCGTGGTTGCCGTGGACACGAAGACTGTCGGCGCTCGGGCGACGTCTTACTCCAGCGATTTGGCAAACTCTGCGTAATCTATATAACCGTCATTGTTTTTGTCATCGTCCTTCAGAACGTCATCGATGAGCGTGATGAGGTCCTCCTCTTTCATTGGCTGGCTGTTCTCTCCCCTCTCCTGAGAAACACACAGGATCATAAAACATTCATTAAAGTGCCTCCTTTAACAGTTCACTCCTAATGAAATGAGGTAAAAGTTCCTCTGGGGGGATTTAAAAGGTGTCGGGATCCAGCGAGTATGAGGAAGGTGTGGCACATCCAGCAGATCGAGATCTGAGACTCTTCAAAATAAAATGTATTCCAGCTGCTGGAAACCAACCGTGGTGATTTAGGGAAAGCAAACAGGGTCTGTGTGGGAGTCATCGCCCCCAAAAGTCACAGTTTACATGATGGAAAGGTCACTGGGGAAGTTTTTTTAAACAAACAGGGTAATAAAAGCAAATTTATTGGTAGCAGAAATATGAAAGTATAAAAGCTGGAAGGGCTCCAACTGACGGAGCACAGCTACAACGGAGGACACAAAATGTAAAGTTTGTACAGTTATAGTTTATCTGTATGGATGATATTGATCAGTGTACACTGTATCTGTATGGATGATATTGATCAGTATACACTGTATCTTTATGGATGATATTGATCAGTATACACTGTATCTTTCTGGATGATATTGATCAGTATACACTGTATCTTTATGGATGATATTGATCAGTATACACTGTATCTTTATGGATGATATTGATCAGTATACACTGTATCTGTATGGATTATTGATCAGTATACACTGTATCTGTATGGATGATATTGATCAGTATACACTGTATCTGTATGGATGATATTGATCAGTATACACTGTATCTTTATGGATGATATTGATCAGTATACGCTGTATCTTTATGGATTATTGATCAGTATACACTGTATCTTTATGGATGATATTGATCAGTATACACTGTATCTGTATGGATGATATTGATCAGTATACACTGTATCTTTATGGATGATATTGATCAGTATACGCTGTATCTTTATGGATTATATTGATCAGTATACACTGTATCTTTATGGATGATATTGATCAGTATACACTGTATCTGTATGGATGATATTGATCAGTATACGCTGTATCTTTATGGATTATTGATCAGTATACACTGTATCTTTATGGATTATTGATCAGTATACACTGTATCTTTATGGATGATATTGATGCTGTATTGACAGTCAGACTGTGGACATATGACGGCCTTTAGCTCGTGTTTCAGAGCAGTCAGACCCCGTCGCTGATCAGTCACAGTGTAGAAAACAACCTCAGTACTCCGGATTATAAGCCTGCCTACCTCTCTGTGTACGTGTGTGATAGCCGTGGCGAGCTCCAGCCCGTCCAGCAGGTTGTTGCCATCGTAATCGTGCATCTTGAAGTAGTGCAGCTGAAGCTCCTGAGGTGTCATGTCTTTCTCTGGTTGCTCTATCACTCCCTCTAAATGCTCCATGATGTGGCTGCAAGACAAAAAACAAACAGAGTGTGTGTGAACGCCTGCGGGCCGGGTTCAAGGTTCAACCGCTCAGTGCCGCCAGCGATCACTCACTCTTTGTCCTGGACCATGTTCTTGTCCAGGCGGCCGTGGCCGGTTACGTGAGCGCCGCTCGCCGCGACGGGCGGCACCTGCTGCTGGTGGTGGTTGTGTGGATCCACCTGAGAGTGAACACACAGCAGAGAGGAGGACAGGAGGAGGAGCAGACCCCCCCACTGCACTCTGCACCTGCCACTCCTCATTCTGCCGGGCACACAGACACACAGACAGACAGACAGGCAAAGAGACAGACAGCAAGTTGGATTAAGGAGATCACATTTTACATACACTATTCTTTATGGCCTCTCACTTTTCATTCATAAATCCAACTTTAACGAGCAAAATCGTTATTAATTAAAGGTTTTTTCTTCCTGCTGTTTCAGCTGTAATCAGTTTCAGTGAGCGGCACATTTAATCCCCGAGAAGACCCAGAAACAACATAAAAACAATCTAATCTGGAAAGAAGAAGTAAAACATAAACAATTAAATAAAATAATAAATAATAAAAACAATAAAAACTAAAGGCAGCTTAGTGGGAACATCCAGGTATCCAGAACCAGCTGAGACCCGAGAGGGTTCGGACCGGACCGGGAGACCCAGATAGACCTAAATCAGAGACTTATGGACAAACAGCTGAAACTGGTGATCAATGTAGTGATCAATGCAGTGATCAATGCAGTGATCAGTGTCTGGATGCAGCACTTTGGATGCATGGACCAGCTCCTCCAGACCATCTCTCTCTCTCTCTCTCCCTCTCTCTCTCCCCCCCTCTCTCTCCCCCTCTCTCTCTCTCTCCCTCCCTTCTCTCTCTCCCTCTCTCCCCCCCCTCTCTCTCTCTCTCCCTCCCTCCTCTCTCTCTCTCTCTCTCCCCCCTCTCTCTCCCCCTCCCTCTCTCTCTCTCTCCCTCCCTCCCTCTCTCTCCCTCTCTCTCTCCCCCTCTCTCCCCCCCCTCTCTCTCCCTCTCTCCCCCTCTCTCTCTCTCTCCCTCTCTCTCTCTCTCCCTCTCTCCCCCCCTCTCTCTCTCTCTCCCTCCCCTCTCTCTCCCCCTCTCCCCTCTCTCCCTCTGAGTCTGATGTACCAACAGAGGAGGAAACATTCAGTAAAGTCTTTATAGTATGAAACTGTCACACTCACACACACACACACACACACACACACTCTCTCTCACACACACACACACACACACTCTCTCTCCACACACACACACACACACACACACACGTGCACTATTAAAGGGTCAACACATTACTGCCAGCCAGTGTTTAATATTTAATGTGAGAGACCCTCACGTTGTAGCTACCTGCAGTAAACATTAACATTAACTCTGCTGTAATAAAATCAAAGAGCAGAAACTAACGCAAACATCAGCAAACAGGATGTCTGTTATAAATAAGAGTTGCTAGCACGAAGCTTCAGTTTCAGGACGCTGACGGTCCGTTTAACGCGCAACAAACACAAAGAGTTCCGTTGTTATACTATCGTTTATTAAACGTTTATTTTAATACTCACCTGAAATATAAGCTCTATCTTCTTCTCGACTCTGCGGACAGGTTCCGTTGTTTTTCTTAGTTGGCTGGCAACAATGATGATTCACGGCTTTTACGGACCCAGCGGCTCGCCGTAGCTCCTCTTGGACACGACAGCTCATTGTGATTGGTTAAAGCGACCAAAGAGTAAACAACCGGAGCGAGAGAGTTCCCTGCAACAACGTCTGTCTTCGCCCGAACCTCGCTACTGTCTATGAGTGAATTACAATGTTTTATTATACTGTGTTTATATTCCAACATAATCTTTAAGGTTATAGGAAGATTATTATAAAGATATAACTCATAAAAAAGCCTTTAAGCTGGTAACAAATGAACACTTCCTGTTTTGTAGGGTGGCTGTATGCCGGGTAAACTCCAAGAAAGATTATTGATTGTTGAGTCTCAGTCCAGAGGAACCTGATTTTTTTCACAGATTATCTGTCTCATATAATATAATATAATATAATATAATATAACATAATATAATATAATATAATATAATATAATATAATATAATATAACATAATATAATATAATATAATATAATATAATATAATATAATATAACATAATATAATATAACATAACATAATATAATATAATATAATATAACATAATATAATATAATATAATATAATATAATATAACATAATATAATATAATATAATATAACATAATATAATATAATATAATATAACATAATATAATATAATATAATATAACATAATATAATATAATATAACATAATATAATATAATATAACATAATATAATATATAGAATATAATATAATATAATATAACATAATATAATATAATATAATATAGACTTTATTGAGCCCATACTGGGGAAATTTGCTCATTATAACTGAAAATATTCATTAAATAGAAATAGAATAGAAAAAAAAGTTCAGTTATGTGCATAAATATGCGTTAAGGCTACCTGTATAATACATTATATTATTAAAGAAAGCACATTGCACATTGTTCTAATTGCAGTTTGAATAAACACCATGTAAAGTCTCCGCTCTCTAACACTACAACATGAATATATAATTATTAGAATCCTTCAGAAATCATATATTTTGTATTATTGTGTGGCTCTGTTTCCTATTTAGACATAAAATACATTTTCTTTAATCAGAAACTCATAACATGTTAGTTAAAATACACATTTTAGTCTTGTCTCTGTTTCCCTGTTACACACATTATCAACAATAAGTTGCATCATACGAGTCTTCTGAAGACCAAAAGTAACTTCTCTCACCACAATGTTTGCATTATTGTGTGACCGGGAATGAAAATCTCAACACGCACACTTGTTACTTAAATTATTCCTCAGATGTTATTATGTTTCTGACTTTTTAGGAACGTTTTAATGCTGTTAGCACTAAAACCATGGCTACACTTAATATACTTTCTAAAAAAAAAACATGCTAAACATTCATTCCTGCTACAAGAAACAAAGCAAATCTCCCATTAACTGGCCTGAGATTGACATTAATTAAACATTTAAACATTGTGTAATTAGACACAGAGCTGTTACAACATGCACATGGCACCGATTTGAGGTGACTTATCTTGACTGAACAAAACACCTTTGAGGTGACTCTTCCTTTACGTCAGCAGGGGGAGGGAGGGGGGGGGGCGTGGAGCAGCCGCTGAGCTGTCAAATCCACACGCACAGGGGAGCACGCGCTGTGTGGTGGAGTTCATTGGGAAGGAGAGGAAGAAGAGGAGGAAGAGGAGGAGGAGGAGGAAGAGTCGATAAGCAAATGTCCAGTTTCCAGAGAGAAAATGACGCTGCTAAAGCTCTGTTCAGGAGGCTGGAGGTTGTTTTTCTGTGATGCAGTAGCTGATAGACTGTCAGTAGTCAGTGACCCCCCCCTCCGTGCTGTGGCTGAGAGGATTCAGGTGCACTTGTTCCCCCCCTCCCTTTAGTGTGAATACCACTGTAGTTCCTCTATTAGTTTGTACAACCTTGTGCTTGATGCAGCGCGAATTCCATGTCACAGCGCAATAGCTGACAGATGTATTATTCTGTAACTGAGCCAGGTGCTGCTGAACCCAGATCAGGGAGCAAGCCAAGCAATTACAAATTGATTTTTTTTTTTTTTTTTTTTTGCAGTGAACTCATTAATGAAATGAACACTATTAAAAGAAGAATCGTTGTTTGCTGCACTGTGTGACAGTGTGTGTCTCAGTGTGTTGCTGCAGGAGAGCCCTGTGCACTGATGCATAAGCCCCTACCTGATCCAGTTAAAGTGTTAACGGGAAAGATTAAGGACGTGTGCTCTTCAGAGGAGGCCGCCCTTCCTTTTGCGGTGCAACAGCTACAGATCAGAGGCCTCTCAAACATGCCACAACTCTCTTCAGGAGAACATAACTCTCATACAGGCAGCAACGCGTTAATGCAAGTGCCAAATAACACGATTAATGTATGACAGTGCAGGGAGGCGTTATAAAGTTACAATGGTTCAAAAACATCCTATAGGATGTTCTTCTTGTCCAATAAAATCCTTTAATATTCGTATTAATCTCTAAAATAAGATTTTTTTCCTCCTTTATAAGAAATAAATGTTTGTTTCTTCAGTTTTTTTATTAAATTAAATTCAGAATATTGCAGGAGTTTCCTTGTTAAATGAAGTAGTTAATGCATACAATGGATTATATTCAAATGAATGAATTAGCTCCAGTAACAACAATAAAATCCTCACAATTAAAACCTGAGATGTGAAATAAAATCTTGTGTTGCTGCCCTCTGGATGTTGTGTTTGCTGGCCCTGTGTAGTAACCCACACCCCACCCCTCCGCACTCAAAGATTACACATTTATTTCTCCTGCCAGTCCGCAGTTACTCCCATCGTGTCCGGGGAGTACAGTCACCACCGGGACAGAGCGGCGATGGCATCCCGGGTTTCCTTCACCCAGATCCGGCTGGAAGCGGAGCTGGAGCGCTACCGGGCCGAGTGCCAGTGGGACAAGATGCCGGCGATCATCGACCAGATGCACGCTGCGCGGTTCCACGAGGACGGTGAGTGGTACCGCACACACACACACACACACACACACACACACACACACACACACACACACACACACCTGGAGGAGCTGAAGTTGAGCTCTATCTTTCTGCACAGCCAGAAACACTCTGTTCTATATTCAGGTTAAATCTGGAAACAGTGAGCTGGTTTTTTTTTTTTTAGGGAAGTTTTTAGGAGTTGTTGTCAGAGTTAAAATGCTTAAATATAAGTTGATTTGTAGTTGGAACTATTTAGATTTACTCTGTTAATTTGTAGATTTTGTTTGTTGAAGTATGATTTTAGGATTTAGTGAGAAACAGTGTTGGTGGAGGATGTTTGTAGTCTGGGTTGAACTGTACACAGGTTGGACTTTGGACTTAACAAGATAGAGTGTACTTAAAGCTGCAGTAGGTAACTTTTATTAAAGTTTATTATTTTTGTGTCATATTTGCTGAAACTTTCACTAAATCCTGATAGTAGGACATAAAAAATCTGCCTCCTCCGGGTCGCTGTAGAGCTCCTTAATGGCTCATAATCCACTGCACCTGAACGACAACCAATCAGAGCCGAGGAAGATACTCTTTCCCAAAGGGTCAAATACCAGAACCATCTTTATTTCTCTATTCTTGCCTCTATTTGGTTGCTTTGGTGGATTCTTGCAGACGCCATCAGGAGCACCAGGAGGAGCCGGAGGAACCAGATTATCCGTCTGTCCGTCTTTTATTAAAAGTTACCTACTGCAGCTTTAAAGGTTTCTTCTGCAGAATTTATTCCCCAAAGCTGACTTTCCCAGTGGGTCGGACCAGGGTTCAGAGAGAGGCTGCCGGATGGCTCCAACAACAACACGTCACTCCCTGGAAGTTTACAGTACACACAATGAAAGAGAGCATGATCAAAAGGTATAGCCTGGCCTCTGCATTGTTAACCCCTCTCATACAGGAGAGCCAACCTAAAGCATCAAGACTTTCCAGTGGAATAACCTTTAAAAATCATTCCACACAGTGCATGCTGGAAGAAATGCAAACACACTTATCATTGTGTGCCTCATAAAGCACCTTTGGTAAGTCGCTAATGCACCTGCGTCCCCCCCCTCTCACCTAAGCAGAGTAAATATGGGTTCAGGTGACTCGACTGCACGTCCGCTGTTATTGTGGCCCGTAAGTGGCTGATAGTGCAGGCCGGCGGTTTCTCCCCGCCCGCACTATGCACTGGAGTGTTAAATCAATGTGGTATTACTGCGTGCATGCCTGGTTCACATTAGCTGATCTGACATTAAGTGCGCATGGAAGGCATGGTGCACCAGGAGAGGCCGAGTTAGAGACAGAGGAGCTTCATAAAGTAATAAGGAATTAAACGTAGTGGTAAAATCCACCCTGCTGTAAAACTGTAAAGATAATTTAAAGATGTGGTGGCAAAATGCACCAGTTCACTGCAGTAACTATTTAGGACACTGAGGTCGTATGTGTGAGTCTTCTGTATTTTTTATGGGATTTGTTTGTTTTTTTGCAACCCTGAGGGAATTTTATTCTACAGTTAAAACACTTTGTGGCTATTTTATAAGCTGGTTGCACTATTCTCAGACTCAGTATATTTAAAGGCACCCTGTGGAGTTTTCTTGTAAACAAAAGTTTAAATTCACTGTTTCTTTTCAAAAATATATAGTATGTTTTTGAAAAGGTCTAACAAACAAATTTAATGCATTTCCTTCCTCATAAAAAGCTGATTTTATTTTATTTTAAAGCTCCAATGTTTACGTCCATGTTCACTACCTAGCAGTCTTCTTTGTGTGTTGACTGCAGATCCAACTTTAAAGGTCCAGTGTGTTACATTTAGGACAATATGAAACATTTAAGAGTTTTTCAGGACGGGGTTGTTGTTTCAGATGCTTTGTGTTGGTACGTTCTTGAAGAAAAGATTGAGCGTAACATATTTTTAGCCACTTGGGGGCAGCAGAAACAAGTCGCTATTTAAGTTGATATGGTTGACATTTTATTTACACAACCAGTAGTGCATTTTTAGCTTTTTTGTTCACCTGAAAGTCCAGTATTCACTCTCCTTTTAGCTCTGTGTTTACTCTCCACCAACTCCTGAGAGAAATATCTGGCTCTTTAGCAGCTAAATGCTCCACTATGTCCACCAGCTAAAGTTATAAAGTTGTTTTTAACTGTTGTTAAGGGTTGATTAAAAATGAGACTGAATACAGTTGTGTTATAATTCACTGTGAGACTGCAGCCCCTTTCATAAATAACCACATACTCGATTGCTAAGCCACCAGAGCACAGACACTGAAAATGTCTCCACAGTGAAGCAGGAAAACAGGAAAACTGCATATTCATAGATTCTGGAGTTTAATTGAGGTAGAGGGAGAAGATTTTAACGTGGAATTTTGACTTTTTCTGCAGAAACATGTCAGCCACACATTATTGCTCCAGGCAGACTATTTGTGTGTATGTTGTAATACATGAGGGGAGCCTTAACGTTTTTTCTAACCACAAAGCTGTTGCTCAAACACACACCTTCAGTGAAACTGATAGCAACAAGTTTCCTGCCTTTCCTCTGCGGAGTTCAAATGTAATTCACGAAAATGAGGAAATTACTAACTGAAGAGGAGGTAGACAAAAGGAGATTAAATTACAATAATGCACCACAGATTGTTTCTGTCTGTCCAACAACACTCTTTTACCTCCCGGCTACTTTATTGCAGCACTGACTGTTTCCAAAGTCTCGGCCACGGCTTTGTGTGAACCCTTTAAACAGCTGTTTGCTACAGTTATGAAGTCCTGCTGTTTATCCCTCACCTTCCCCTCGCTGATAGGTGTAGCCTTGGCCGTGCTGATAAAACTAACTGGCAAATATGTCAAGTGTATCGGGACATAAACACTGCTCACAGAGTTGGCGTCAGAACACACACACACAGAAAGAAAAAGCTAAACAGGAAGGCTTTAATCGAGCGTGTGTGTACATAAAAACTGAGGTTTACTACAGGACACTGAAGGCCCCGTCAGAGCGGAGCTGGTTTACCAAAACTTCAGTATCTTGATTCCGTGGAGGTGGACGTGCAGCGCTTATCATAGTATTACAATGTTAAAGCTATTTAAGGAAATGAGGGAAGTGGAAACTGTAGCTTCTAAATAGACTTCAGGACTTTGGCATATTTGAACTCCTCTCCCTGCGCTGTTGGGAAATGCTGTTTTTAATGGACTGAGGGAGGTTTGCTTTGGCTACAGAAACAAATGACCTGTGACCCTGAGCTCAGACCTACTCCAACAAACTTGTTTTTTTACTTTTTCAATCATCTTTGTAGACGACTACGGGCCGCTGCTGATGGCCGAGGTGCTGCTGGAGGAGTGCCTGCAGGAAAACATGGACCTGTTACGGAGCTCCACGCCTTTGACGGACAAGACCCAGGCCAAACTGTGCCGGGCCAAAAGCCACCTCAACACTATCCTCAGCCGAGGCCGTCTCACAGTGGGTTCATCCTATAGTATCTCTCTAAAGCTTGAAACCATTATGGCACAGAACACAGGAACCACTTATGTCCTCTCGTCCTCCAGCCCAGGTACCTGAACGAGGCTCTGCTGCTGATGGCCAAGGTGCACTATGTGCAGGGTCGCTACCGGGACGCCCAGGGAATGTGTGCTAGGGTGGGACTGGAGGAGCTGACCAAGGATTTCCAGCCGACCTACCACCTCCGCCTCCTGGCTGAGGCGTTTGTCATTAAAGGTACCTGACAACTCTGGAAGTATTAAAGAGGAAATTCCAGGTTTGGAACAACTTGGGTCTTTTTCCATCGTTACAGTCGGGAATAAAAACATTGTTGTCACCAAGTTCATGGCTGAGTTCTGCAAAAATGGGCAGATTCAGGGGCAGATCGAGAGAAATGTGGTGGCCAGGGGAGACTTTAAGAGGTGGCAGAAATAAATAATACATGATACAATCACATATATGAATATTTGCTCAGAAAACCCCAAAATAAAGGCTAAAAAACATAATTGCGGCACATTAGTAAAACATTAAATAGAAATATCTAAAAGGTGGCAAATCAATAAACTGTTTTATTTCCAAACCTTCAGACACTTTTCCAAATACAGATCATTAAATTATATATGTTTTACACCACAGTCTGGGTGAATACTCAATTGTGATTGGCTGCTGAGTGTCCATTAATTCCTGATGTAGAACACCTCCTAAGTAGTTCATCATTCTTAATGAATGCGCTGAAATAAATTAAATGAAAACAAAATGTGTACATCTCATAAATATATCACAACACTGAGTGTCGTCCTTCAGTGGCTCATCCTCTGAACACCACAGGATGGCGACTGTAACATACAAGCCCCCACAGAGCCCCTCTGAACTCACTGATCATCCCACATCCCGTCCTGTATCCAGCTCGCCACTTCAGGCTGCAGCCATCCGTACACATCCCCTAATGACATAGCTGATAGATAGCTGTTGTTATACATACTGTCAGATTATATTTACATATAGCACACAGCTCACGTAGCCCTGGTGTAGCGCCGTGTCTACAACAGACTGACCTCCTGGTCCAGTTAGACAGAGCTAACAAGGATGGCAAATATTAAACGTATCACTTTTCAGATGGCCATAAACATGACTACAAAGCATTGATAATGTCCATATCTGCTCAACGTGTAAATAAACAACTTTTTTCTAACAAGTCAGCCGTACTGAGAGATAATATGTGTTTACAGCGTTCACTGCACCCAAAAACTTCAGTTAATGCAGGTTTAACAAATGATTTCAGCTATTAAACGGATGAGCTGCCACTAACATTTACAGGATATTAAAGGGGTGTTTTCTTCCAGCAGAAATGGAGCTCAGAGGGTTTAGAAGTAATTCAAAAGTGTATCACAGAGTAGCAGACTAACAAACACACCCACATACCAATGCAGGAGAAGGAGAGGAGGCAAAGGGACAAGAAGCAACAGGTTTGAGACATTTTGAGAAATACTGAGCAGAAATACGATCAATCAAAAGTCGGCTTTGCAAATGTTTGTTAGTCCTGATTTGGGTGAGAAAGAATGACAAGTGTCCAACGTGTAACAAAACTATTCAGTCAAATATCATAGTGGGCTTCATTAACCTTTAGTAAGACTTGTGTTGCCTCTCACTGGGATTTCAGACGTTTTGGTCCATTATGGAGCTGCATACTGACTGTAGATCTCCTACCTGTCGGCCTCGCCTACCGAGGACTGGCTCGTTTCCCTGAAAAACACCACAACTAAGATTGAACAGCTCTCTGCATACGTTTCCTCGATGATAACATTCCTAATCCTGTTGCTAGGAGTTATTACAGCCCTAAAATCACAGTGACCTTGTACGGGGTTTTGGAAGTGGAGGGGGAAAAGGAGGCGGTCGGGCCGATGAAATCCAATCTGTGGAAATGAATGTAACGCGGCTGGAAAACATCAGCTTAAATGGAAGGATAGTTATGTCAGTAACCTCGTGGTGTGTTTGTTTGAGTCTTTTAACCTCAGCTTGTGGATGACACTAATGATGTGAAAGCAGAAATGTGAAAATCTGGTCCTTTAGGCCGCGTTTACGCCTGCCATTAACGTGCATCTTGGGTGATCCGATCACAAGTGGACAGCTTTCAGTACGTCAGTCCTCCGCATGCATTTTGAGTGACCACTTGTGATTGGAGCTCACTTCCCCGCACTGTATGCAAATAAACACGTTTCCAGTTGAGAAGACCACATGTGATGTTGTTTTTAACCTCAGTTTGATGAATTTACTGTTTATCAAACAACAAATGAGACCAGAATTAGGCTGGAAACACACAGACGCTGCTGCAGTGTAGTCACTGTTTGTACAAAAACACAACTTTATAATAACTAAATAATAACTTTATTCACTGATTATATGTAGAAAATGTTTTGTTGTTTTTCCTCTGATGTCCTCCGGTTGCCTCAATGCTCATTTTAAAGCCTTGATTTCGGTGTTATGGTCGTTGATATCTCCATTGTTCAGACAATGGTGGCTCGCCGGGTCACACATAATCTCGTGTTCCAGATAAACAATAAAATATGTTTGTGAACAGATTTTAGGAGAGAAATAGTCAACACAGTCACAGAATCTGGATCTTTTTTTCCTTTACATTCATGTGGAGAGTAGAGGACTTTTAAATCGGTGCATAAAATAAAAAAATGTCACACAAAATCAGAGAACGCCCATGAGGTTGTGATTCATGTCCTTGCGCCAATGTGTCCCTTATACTTCCACCCTAATTCAGACCTGAGCTCAACAAACACAACCTTTGTGTTTTCTCTCCTGAAAGACACCTCAACGTCTGAAATGTGATTCTTCAGAGTAAAGAAACAACTTAAAGCCCTTCAGGGAACATATTTTACTGCAATTGGCAGATTTCTGCACAGATGCTGTTTTAAAAATGGTTGTGAGTCATATGTCGAGGATGTGCCGTTACTCACAGTCACACATGCACCCAAGCCGTCTGAGGTCCAGAAATGCCGTTTTGTTGTGGCAGATTATTTTTAGGTACGTTTTCCAGACAGATACAATCGATTTGTCTATTTTAATTACTGAATACCAGCTTTATTAAAGGTCAAAGGTCACATCCACAGATCATTACCCTCTCTTTTGTCCTTAGAGCTCTGGATAATCTTGTTACACTCATCATCATCATCAGGTCATTACACTGTTTCCTGATGATCGGATATGACCTCATGCTCATGACACTGAGAGAATTTTATTATAGATTTTGATTTCCTTTGATTGTTTGGGAAATTATGTTTACAGCGGACTGTTATGACTGACTCTACACGAGAAAACAGATCTACTCCCTTGAGGGTTGCAAAGCTCCTTCCCATGCTCTTTTTTTGTGTGCATATATTGCACAGTGGTGTGGGAATGGAGTCAGATGTGAATATTTGGATGCTGATGTCTCGTCCATTGGCAGCTGTCTGCTTATTTGATTAGACCTGGCGTCTGGCCTGAGGCTGCTGTCCATCACAGGCCTCTTGCGGTCTAGAAATGTTCCTGCTCGCTACGTTTATTTGTACCAATGAGTCCACTAACGGACGTCAGACCTGGCATCTGGACCAGGACTGCCCTGCTCGCTTCTTCCTCTCTGGTCCTAAACTGTAAAAATAAACAACTGAAAATTCTAATACAATACATGGAAATACATGGAAATAATGAAATTACAAGCAGCCTGTTAATTTACATGTTTATTGTAAAATAATATTGTAAATAATCATACAATTACTGTTTTCTTTTGCAAATCTATAACTTTTCTTTATTTATTTAATAGCTTAAACTGTTAAATTGAAGTTTAATACTGTTAATAGATTACAGATATCCTGTATAATTAAGTTTTCACAACAAACATGCTGAATAAATGTTTTTTGTCAGTGGATACGCATTGGTAAACTGTCAAAATACAGTTTTTGTAATGAAAACAGCAATTATTACTGTAACAGATGGTGACTTTTGTTGAATTTTACAGTTCTATAGCTTTAAGATTATAATATTTGTATTATAGCAGTTTTTGCCTTTATTTATAGGTAATTTCACTGTTTTTACTGGTATGAATATCTTTAATTTCAGATTGAAAAGGCCAATCAATTACACAAGATTTTATATAAAATAAAGGCTGCAAGCAGTGATTTGCAGGTCCTCGCAGTCACGCAAATGTCATGAAAAGTACTCGATTATTGCCATATAAGGCTTGTGATTGTGTTCAGGAAGGGACTCTTATCAAACCAATTGTTTATTCTTCTATTATTTTTATTTATTTTTTTTATCTATTTTTAATGGATACTGATAGCTGAAGAGAGAGAGAGAGAGAGAGAGAGAGAGAGAGAGAGAGAGAGAAAGGATGACAGGAAGCCACAGGTCGGATTCGATCGGAGAAGTTTTTTAAACGTGGGAAACCGAAGCTTCTCGGAGAAAACCCTCGGTGAGCACTCTGTACTCCTCACAGCAGAGAGGGTCAAAGGTCGGAACTGAACTCTCACCTTATAACTGTGAGGCCACAGTGTTAAACACTGAGGCACCTGCGTGGTCCTAGGACACCTGATATCCTAGAATTATTTACAGAGACCCAACAATTCCCACCATGAGCAAGCACTTGGCGACAGTGGCAAGGAGAAACTCCCTTTTAAGAGGCAGAAACCTCGGACAGACCCCGGCTCTAGGTGGGTGGCCGTCTGCCTCGACCAGTTGCGTCTATGACATCTGAGGATAGTAGCACGGAGCGGTTTTTTTTTTTCATTAAGGTTTAAAATGTGGGCGAACCGAAGCCTCTCGGAGTAAACCCTATGTCATTTCAGTTACTACGCGTGTATTTTTGTCCGTGTTTGTCCTAACCACCACCTCGAACTCGCCAAAGATTACTGTTTGATTCTAAAACAGGCGGTGAATGGCTTGGCCGCAGTATTTAAGAGATGTTAGAAGAAACCGTTCATGCCGGTCTTGTCATGTGGTGTCACCTGTTTTTTTGGTACTTAGGTTTTTTTTCATTAAGGTTTAAAATGTGGGCGAACCGAAGCCTCTCGGAGTAAACCCTATGTCATTTCAGTTACTACGCGTGTATTTTTGCGTGTGTTTGCCCTAACGCCTTGAAACCGCCAAAGATTAATCTTTGCGTCCAAAGCAGGCGGTGAACGGCTTGGCCACGGTATTTAAGAGACGTGACAAGAGTCTGTTCATGCCAGTCTTCTTTTCTGGCATCACCAGATGCATTTTCACTGTCTCAGTTATGTATCTGTAAACAGATACATTCTGGGTCAGCAGGCTCTTCTGCAAGATCTTTGCACCGCCTGTATTCTTGCACAACTCCTTGTGCACCGCCTTGGCGACCCTTTTTATATCATGGCCGCTCGGCTTGACAGCAACGTCAGCGCCTCCAATCTGCTCCCAAAGCAACGCCGCCAGTGACTCACTGATGCTTTCAATGACCTTACAGGTCAGACTACTGTCCAGATGTTTTCGCCTTTTCATTATCTTTTGGAACACTGCAATGGCCATAATATTGCAGCTCATTAAGTCCCACTGATAGGCTGCTGGTGCTGCGGTCTCACTTACAGCTTCACCAGCCTCATCTCTGATGGGTGACACGATGGACTGAATGGGGATGGAAGGTGGTTCTACTACAACCACCAAAGTGTCACCAGACTTGTCTCGGATTAGTGACTTTACAGACGGAACGGGGGTGGCAAGTGGTTTGGCTTTAACCACCAAAGTGTCCCTAGCTCTGTCTCTAATCTCTGACTGGACGGACTGTATGGGGGTGGAAGGTGGTTCGGGTTCAACCACCAAAGTGTCACTAGCTTCATTTACAATTGGCGACTTCACGGACTGTATGGGGGTGGAAGGTGGTTCGAGTTCAACCACCAAAGTGTCTCTAACTTCATTTACAATTGGCGATTTGACGGACTGTATGGGGGTGGAAGGTGGTTCGGGTTCAACCACCAAAGTGTCACTAGCTTCATTTACAATTGGCGACTTCACGGACTGTATGGGGGTGGAAGGTGGTTCGAGTTCAACCACCAAAGTGTCTCTAACTTCATTTACAATTGGCGATTTGACGGACTGTATAGGGGAGGAAGGTGGTTCGGGTTCAACCACCAAAGTGTCTCTAACTTCATTTACAATTGGCGATTTGACGGACTGTATGGGGGTGGAAGGTGGTTTGAGTTCAACCACCAAAGTGTCTCTAACTTCATTTAGAATTGGCGATTTGACGGACTGTATGGGGGTGGAAGGTGGTTCGGATTGAACCACCAAAGTGTCCCTAGCTTCATTTACAATCTGCGACTTGACGGACTGTATGGGGGTGGAATGTGGTTTGGGTTCAACCACCAAAGTGTCACCAGCCTCAGCACTTACAGCGACCTCCAGAGCAATAGAAGCTGAACCTGACACAGGTGTCACGCAGCCACTTTGTACAACTGAGGTCTGTGTGAGCGATCGCTGGCTGACCAGTCCCCTGATTTGCTTCACAGCCACACTTGCGTGGTCCCCCCTCTTTTTGTGGAGCTTTAGCTGCCGGTTGAGCCAGTTGCGTATCTGCCTCATAAAAGTGTTGACCTCGCCCTGTATTTCAAAACGGAAGTCAACGGAAGGGTCCTGCTGGAGGTGCTGTGAGACAATATCACCAAGTTCAATTGCAGCCATGTTGTGTTGTCCGCTGGATATTACCTCTGCGATTCTCTCATAAGTGGGTTCGTCGTCCGTGTCATTATTTATGTCCTCTTCGTTTAATGAGATGATGGTTTTCACCACCAGATCGGCCTCTTCCATTAACTGGCTCAGAGACGTCTCTTCCTCTGAGACGCAATTATATTTACGCCTCAGTTGTCTCACAAGGACAAGTAGTGAGCCCTTGGCAAATCTTACCGCAAAGAAATACTTAAGTTTATCTCCCACCGTTTTCCAGTAGGGTAACTTTTCATATTCAGCCACTGATTCCGGCACTGATTCCGGCAGTGAAGTGTCTTCAATTATTTGTTTGACTATAGAAGAAGCCATCTCGTTTGTGTCCTGGGAGGAACCGGACTCAAACACTTCGCATTCTTCATCGGAAATCTTAGCGTTATAACTAATCGGGGTAATGCATTTTGCCTGTTGTTGCAGTATAGCTTTCACGGCTTCTGTCGTTTCGATGACAAAGCTCGTCTGAGGCAGAATGTCCGTCTCATCCACAAAAGAAAGTACGGGGGTAAACTCCCCGCTTCCAAGGGGCGTGGTGCCCTCCTCACCTGTGCAGTTTTTTAACATCCTCACAACATGTCGGACCATGGTCTTCAGTCTGTGCGTGAATGAACGTGAGACGAGAGGACTTTTCCCTTTATTGCTGCCTCCAATACTTCCAGAGGCATCGGAGAGCTCATTTAGTCTCTCGGTGATCTCTCTAACCACAGCGCTGGTAACCTTCTCCACGCTTCGGCAACTGATGTCTGTGATCCTGGTTGCCTCAGAGAAAGCCAGGGATATTTTGTCTCCCAGACAGCTGCGGACATCATCTTCAGAAATGCTGTCCTTCTGTGATCTGGCAGACCCAGAAGAGCTTTTAGATGATGTGGGAGTGAGCCTCCCCTTCAGTTGCCTCCAATTAAACACCTCAGTAACATGTATGAATAGCATATTTACAATATCCACACACAATTCGGTGATTACATCCTCTGCGGTGCTGTCTAGAGACCCGCCTTGCAGCTGCGACAACTGTATGGTTGTCAGCTTGTTCAGGCTCTGTTGGATAAGTACGCGAAGACTCTCATATGTAGATTGATCCATGTCTGTTAGTATCCTTGGATCCGAAGTCCTTAAGAATCTGTGCTTGTTGTGGTTGTGTCCTTGTGGAAGTGTCCTGAAGAATGTGAACTGAACCAGGTTGATTGGGATCCTATATCCATAGTTTCAGACAGAATGTTCGCCTTTGTATCAAAGCAACATTCTATTGGCTTTGATCTTGACATCAATCAATGACATCACAACATTCCGATGACATCACAGCAAAAGATTAAAGAAATTTAAAAAAAAACACTTCATTGCAAAATTGAAACAATTTAAAAATAAACAAGTCATCTTTGCCAATAATTGATTGTTTTAGTCTTATAAAAAACACTATTTGAAATTCTGATTAATAATTGTTTTGGCTCAACAAAAAAAAACTGTTATAATAAAAATAATGAAAATAATGTTTGCAGCTTAAAAGGTTTTTTCTAAATCAGTAAATAAATAATAATAAATTATATAATTTATTATGCATTTAATTAAGTGGTAGTAGGTCCACATCACTTTTTAGAGTGGATGTTTTTGCAATGCAGTCTGCAAAGTTGGCATGTTAGCATGTGGTTAAAAATTAATATTAACTTTCCACACTACGAACATGACGACAATTACCCAAAAATAAAACCCAATAAACCCATTGAATTGTACACGTACTGTAATTTGAATTTGTACAGAGCAAAAACGAGTGCAGAGATAGCTGTAGACCTGTTCTGATAATGAAAAACAGAATCTGTTGAAGTTTGAATTAATACATTCTGCGTATCCATTACTTTGATTTTAGAAAACTCGTTGGCAGGGAGTAATAAGTGACGTAGATGGCTGTTTAAGAAACCCTTTGAGATGAAGACATTTCTCATTTATTTGAATATGTAACACTTTTATCCTTTACCTAACAGCTACCGAAATATGACCTTCCTCTCATTTATTTTGATATTTTCAGATAAGACAATTACACAACAAAACACATTCTACTTTAAACTGATTATAAACTGACAATTACAATTTTTATATTATAGTAAATTATACCGTAATGACTCTCTGTATCTCAAGCGTTGACCACATTAACCCCCTGCTAGGTATCACCTGCTAACGCCAGTCATAATTCATCAGGTCTCTCCTTTGTGTTTCAGGTCTGTCTCTGGACCACCAGATAGTCTCTGCGGTGTCTCGTGTCCGTCTGTCTGAGAGGGAGGAGGAGAGTCTGTCCTGTTTCCTCAGGGCCTGTGACGCCGCTCTGTCCTACCTGCAGGAGCTCGATAAGGTTTGTAGAGTGCGCATGTAAATATAAATGTGTCTGTGTTCATCAGTTTCTTTCCTGCTTGTGTGTCTGCGTTTACAATTGATCCTTTGTCCATTTTATTCTGATCATTTCTGTTGACTCGTGTCCAGCAGTGTTTATTTCAGTGTATTTTTATTCAGGTCTTTCCATTATATGCTACTTCATACTTAATATATAACACAGCTATAGTTGGTGGTTACTTTTCTCATTAAGATTTTACATACAAACATATGGTCAGCGTAGCAGTTCATTTGTGTTTACTATTTAATTTTCCTTTTTACCATTCATTTTAGTTCGATATAAACTTTAAGATCTGAACACAAGTTACATTCATTGAGCCTTCACTCTGTTAAACAGCCTCGTTCTGCATTGGAAAAGATAGAACAACCAAAGAGTTAATAGAAAAAACTGTGAAATTGTCACAAAGAAAGAAGCCTATTATATTATTTTATTAAGTATGTATGAAAGAGAATGTATAAAAAGCTTCTAAATAGCAGGAAAACTTGTCTCTGATGCAACATTCACAGGAAATAATTCATCCAAATCACTGTTTGTGTTCATTGTACAGTTTGTTTCTGTACTGTTATGGTTATACATTGAATATAATGTGAAATATCTATAAAATATGTCAGAGTCAGGGGTCATCAGTTTACTCAGTGATAGAAAAGGGGTCCCTTAGGGAAGCAGGTTGGGAATCACCTGTCCAGTAATATAGTAATGGGGTCATTCTGCATATTTCTGCATTGTTAGTGCCTCTTTACTTACTTAAATAAGGTTTTGAATGCAGGACTTTTACTTGCAATTGAGTATTTCTACAGTGTGGTATTACTACTTTTTAGTAAAGAATATACTCTACTGTTCCACTCTGTACTGCTTTGGTTCACTGTGACATCCTGGTTTTATCTGTGTTCATTCACTCTGACCCTCTGATACTGGAGCAATAGTCAGAAGATTAAAAGACACAAACAGGAAGTCTAAAGGTTTAAACATAGTGAATATAAACTGTGTATTTTCAGACAGTAACAACACCTCACACCAAGACAGCCAAAGCAAATCTGCTTCCTCCACCCGTGGACATCGAGCTGGGCTACTTCCTCCAGGCTGCGTTACAGAGTGGTTACCTTTGTCTGCTGCAGAGGGGGTGAGTCCACCAACCCCACATACCCAGACACTGTCTGCCTCCCCCTGTGTTCTGTCTGTAAACCTTCTGCCTGTTCTTGCTTTTCCTGCTTTTTTTATAAATAATTTTGACCTTCAAGAGTTAAAACAAAAATACATACATTATTTGCTTCGATACCAGGTGGGAAGTTACAAATACTTTGTTTCAGTTCCTACATTTTTACACAAATATATGTACTTTCTACTACACAACAGGCTTGTTATTTTACTTTTACAGTTACAACTTTTACAGTTGCTCCCCAAAAGATAACCAGTTACAACATTAATTTTGTTGTCACCTCCTACTGTCCAACAGTCAAATCACATAAAAAAATCAACATCATCATCAAGAAAAGGCACATAACGCCAATAAAAGACAGAAAACTGTATATACACGTAAGGCAATAACAAATATGTGCACAAATGTAAAAACAGAGACAGAACAAGACTTGTAAGAACAATATAAATAAAATATTAAGTAACTGAAACCCAGAGGAAACATGTACATCTTCAGTTTTGTCTTAAAATAGGCGATCGAGCAGCGTTTAATGAAAGAGGAAGTTTATTCCAAAGTTTTGGAGCTGCCACCGCAAAGTCACAATGTTCCTTACCCACCAACCTCGACTGTGGGACTTTTAAAAACAGCTGCTCTGAGGAAATGAATGATGACCGTGGATTTATTTTTGTAATTGTGGAGGAAACTAGTTTGGAAGATGGAAATATTCACATTACTTGGATTTTAATTGTTGTCAGTCTGAATTTTGGGGAGAAAGAGACACAGTTACCAGTTTTGTGGGGAGTAGCAGAACATTAGGTGATGTGATAATAAAATAATGTTGACAGAATGCATCTCTTCAATGTAATTTTCATTATACAGTTGTTTGTTGGTAATTTATCTAGCTGTGTTTACATTACGTCACTGCTTATGCAATATGTTTATTCATCCCTTGTCTGTTATGGAGGCAACCTTGGGCTTTTTCACCCAGTGCTGTGTCAGAAAGAAGAAAATAAGTAAATCATGAAAAGGCTTTTGAGCACCACTTGACCTCCGTGCAGCAGGCATGCATTTTAACCTGTGACCAGCAGGTGTCAGTGTTACTCTTAAACTCAGTGTTGGTCTGTCACACTCTTTCCTTACTGCCAGCTAAAGGTAATGCAGTCTAATGCAACAGTCCTGCAGTAAATGCTGCTTGGGACAAATGCCACACACCACAGCATTTATAGCCTAAGCTAATTATGTAATGCCCGTCCCAATATTTTACTTTATTTTAAAATACATCAACCTCAACAAATACATGAGAGACAGCATAAAACAAGCAGAACAATAAGTACGTACATTAAAAAACAAGGAACTCAAGGAAACCTACAGGACACAATGTAATTAAAGCTCCATAAAACAGGACGCATCAGTTCATTCATGACTACAGGACTGATCCCTCTTCAGGAACTGTTGAAAATAATCTCAGTCAGGATCCAGTTTGAGTTCTGTAGGTAAAGAATTCAACATTTTAATCCCCCGAACAGAAACAAAAAAGGCTGTTTGCACCTTATAATTCCCTCTGGATGCTACCGAGCCTGCAGGTCACTGAGCACCTGGGGAGGCTGGTTATGTAGACATTTGTAGGTGTTTTTAAAATGAGCAAATTTAATAGAACAATCAAAACTCAACATATTTAATTTCTTAAGAACGTGGCAGTGACGTCATCTCATCAGCTTCCTGTCCAAAGTCTCGATTGCTTGATTGTATATCATCATAAAGTTACTGTAGACCGAAAGGTTGCACAATAACTTATCAAAAAAGTGAAATATTATGAAGCTATTATCGTTATAGTCTCTAATAAGTCTGAATAAGTCTTTAACCTAACATATAATGTTTTTGTTGCGACTGCTTTAGAGAGCTGTGTGGTTGTTTTTGGAGGTTTGTGGTGCTGTTGCTACCATCACTGATGTACACGGGGTGGACTAAATATTAGAAACACTAACAACCGGGTGTGTTGCTGCGGTCGTTGTAGGAACTCTGCGTACACGGCGAGCTGTGATCCTGGGTGTGTGAAGCAGTCAGAACATCGCTGCCGCTGTTCACTAAGGGCTCTTATCGTTCTGTACAGACTGTCAGCTTCTTTTTTCTTCTTATTTCTTTTTTCTATGTTGCACCTTCATCACCTTTACATCACACTGATGTATACGCCTACTGTGTGTATGTGTGTTAGTCATCTCGCGCAGGGTGCTCACCAACTGCGTAGGGTGCTCCGGGTGGTGGAGTCACGAGGGTCTCAGAGCTTCAGGAAGGTGAGGTGGCACACGCACACACACACACACACACACACACACACACACACACACACACACACACACACACACACACACACACACACACACACTATATAACCCAATTAGTTAGTTTAACTCAAACAGAGCTACTTAAACCGTTTAATTTTATTAACTCAAACAATTAAAACATGAAAAAATATGTGATTTAAATAATTATTCAACTCAATTATTCATTGTTAAATAAATAACATTCAGTTAATTAAAGTTAAACTCAACAGAATTTATCTGAATAAAGTTACCTGATTACATCTTCTTTATACAAATGTTACCACTTACTAAGATTACCAGTCAAAACTGCTGACGTACAATAAAAACTATTTACTGTTAATTATGAATTGTTGCTGCTGTAATTAAGTTGTTAATAATTGTCTGCTTGTTTTATTTATGTGACTAACATCAAATCTTTACACTTTGGGGGATAATTACGAATTATTTGGATTCGTACTCGAGCTTATGATCATTAATATACTGAAATTAAATCCTAAACTATAGAACATTATAATTATATAAACTCAACTTAAAGAAAATAAGTCAATGGAACAAACTGGAATTATATCAAATACTTAAAATTGTGCAAAAACTTAAGTTGGATATTACTCCAACTATTTATTTTTGAGTTTCATTCATTTTTTATAAGATTACGTTATGTTACATTTTTCTTTTTTCAGTGTAGTTTGCATCCCTGGATACCAAACATTCATTATTCTGTATTAGTGTATTCAAGTGTAGTAACACTTTACAGTAATACATCGGGCTTTCCCTCGTAGTCTGCAGCGAGGAAGCTAGCAGAGGTGCTGCTGAGCTCTGTGAGTGACGACAGCTACTGGCCCCCGCTGGGCCCCCCACCCTCAGCATGGCTCCACAGAGAGGGAGCCGCCGCCTCCAAAGACGCCATCTACCCCACAGTTAAACCGCCGCAACGTTACAGCACTGACTGGTTTGTACTGTTTGATTTATTTCTCTGTCAATACATCTTAATCTCTCTTAATTCTCTTATCCGTTCGACCCACCTGTCAGTGTACTGAGTGCAACCAAGTTCAATATTTAAGAAGGGTGATGCCTCCTGTGATTGTTTTTTGGTACTCCATTGTGTCAACTCACCACTGTGCCCACAGCAGTTATCTCCAGCTGTCAAGTTCTTCTATCAAAGTTGCACTTTCAGCCCATGTCGTATCTGTTTTGGCTGAAATACTATCCTACTAACAACAACTGCAGCAGCTGTTCTCTTTGTCCAAATGTTTTTGTGCTGAGTGTTCATCAGGGAGGGACCTCTCTGCAAATTGAAAGGACTTTCACATGCAAAGTCAGGTAACAGACCCTCCTGGAGGCTGCTCATAGGCTACCAGGTTCACAGTGGGTCAGTCAGGGTGAGGAATCCCACAGCACACCCAGACTGTTTCACATACCTCTCCTCCTCTCCTAGAGCTGAAACAGTAAAACAAATAGGGCAATAAATTAGATTTTTCAATCGTAGCCTGACAGAGGAACGATTATGTTGCCTCCTAATTAATGAACTGTCATTACAGTTCATATTTAGGTTATTTCAACAAACTGACAGAGTACTTAAAGTACAGAAAAAAACACACATATAAGGAAAAGAAAAATATATATTTGGGTTGGACGGACCTGTTAGCATTATGTGTCTAAAGTAGAACTTTGAACTAAGACACAACACTGTAACAAGGCAATAGTGGTTTGAGATTTAAAGACTCAACAAGCTTGTAAAGGAGCATGTACACTCAGCCAACACACCTGTATAAATAAAGGTTAAATGATAAGTGTAACCTGACTATAAATAATAAAACACTCACTTAATATTGTTCCAGTTTCTCACATTTTTTTCCTTCTACACTTAGTGATATGGTCGGCTGAACTGGAAAGACATAAATCTCAAAGCTAAAACCAATTACCTTAATTACCCTTTAATCACCTGTGCGGGGCCGAGAACGTGTGCACGCAGCTGCGTTTTAAACCCCTGTGAGTTCTGGACCAGCTGAACCCTTTTTAAACCGTAGCTAATCATAGATAATATTATATAACATAACAAAACAGCACAACATTGTATGACATAACATAATGTGACTTATCATAATGTTAATAATGATAATTTAACATGACATGACAACACATACCATGAAGATAGCATAACAGGAAATAATGTAACATAATAGAATAACATAGCATAAAATAACATGAAAACATGACATGACATAACAAAAATTATGATAAATGATAAAATAATATGATGACACAACATAATATGACATAACATAACAAGACATAACAGTATAAAATAACACATATCTCCATGTAACATGACACAAAAACATGACATACCATGACAGCATAACACGAAATAATGTGACATGACATAACATGATATAACAAAACAAGGTAGCATAACTCGACAATGACAATATAATAAGACATGACATGACAATAACATTAAATACATTAACATTCACAAGGGATCAAAATGCACTGCACTGACATAACAAACTGGTGATCTGCATCTGCAGAACTAAACTATAACAATATTGTGCTGCCTCGTTTCTGCGTTTCCTTCTTTGCAGGGATCCTGCGCTCGCTGCTGAGGCCCTGTGAGCCATACTTAGTCACCGCCACATGACTAATCCTGCCCACACTATCATAAGAGAAGATCTAAATCCATGTCTGAGATTAGAAGGAGAGTAGGAACAGGAGACTTCACCCTGAGGAATAGCTGCACTTCAGTATTGTTCATGGCTTTTGTCATCGGTTACCTCTTTGTGAAAAGGCCACGATGGTGTCTGGTAAATGTGTCCTTTAATAGCACACAGAGCCGACCAGAGCGGGAAGAAAAGCGAAGAAAGTGATGAATGAGAGGGATGGGAGAGGTGGAGGTGGAAGAAATGAAGGAGCCAGTGTGTGTGTGTGTGTGTGTGTTTGTGTGTGTGACATCTGAGATAGTGCTGTGTAGTGATACGCCCAGGTTGGTCCGCGTTGTGTTACAGAACCACAATTGAGACAGAAACTGGACACTCGCAGCAATCTGGAAATCTACCTCTGGACAAGCTGTGTGTGTGTGTGTGTGTGTGTGTGTAGGTGTGTGTGTGTGTGTGTGTGTGTGTGTAAAGGGATAGACTTCCTGTTATTGGTGCTATTTCCTGTTTTCTGTGTCCTGGCAGTTGCTTCTGTCCTCAGGACGTGGTGGAGGAGGCTGTCTTGCTGCTGCTCATCACAGAAACAATGGTGAGACCCACACACACATAAACAGCCTTTTCTGCTTTCAAAACACACACAAGAGAGAACATCAGCATCCCCACCTTCCCCGTTCTCCGTCCTCCCTCCTCTTCCTCACTCGCCATCTCTGTGTCCCTCCAGGCCAGCGGCGAGGCGGTGATCAGTCGTCTGCCGGACCAGGCCGAGGCTCGTCAGGCCAGCCTGCAGGACGCCACCTCCGTCTACGACCTGCTCACCATCGGCATGGCCAGGAGGGGGCAGTATGCAATGCTTTCTGAGGTGCACACACACACACAGACACACACACACATAAAGAGAGACACACACTCTCTCTGTGCTGGAGGTCTGAAGGGAGGAAAGCAAAAGAGTGAGAGATGAGATGTGTTAGCGAGAGCTTTGCCTTTGCCAAACTTTTTAATGAATGTCCTTATCACTTAGAGCGAAGGGATTATGTGTCTTTTTCTCTCACTGTCTCTCAGTCTTTACCTCAGCCCCCCCCCCCATCTGCCTCTTCCTCCCTCTTTTTCTGTTCAGTATCTTGCTCAAAAATACCTCCTCCGGTTTCTGACTTTTTTTTTACAAGCTCCGTCACCCTTCCCACCTTAATGTGACCTCTACCCAGATGAGGGAAGTTGGGGAGGCGGAGGTTAGAGGGGGTCATCTCAAATTAGGTTTGTCCACCTGTCTGGCTGATTCATAGATAGCATCAGTCATCTTCTAAAGGAGGACCACACACACACACACAGTCGTACACACTGAGGTGGTTCCACCTGCACAGTCGGATCAGTTTGCTGATATATGAGACCAGTATGGACCATTTATTAAAAATTAGATGTCAGCCAGTCAGTGCCATCAATCTCTGGTGTGATGAATAAGATTCACTTTGATTGATTGCAGACTTGCTGAAGCATTAATCAATCCAAGCAGTGTCTGAGGCAAGTTCTGATACTCATATCCAATTTCAGTTGATTGATTTACAAGTGTGTATTATTATTATTATGATTTTAAGTCATTTGCTTTATGTATGAGAAAAAAAACAGTTAAATAATAAATAAAAAAGATAAAACGGTCAAATGTTTGCAGGATAAAATAAGCTAATAGCAACGAGGAGAGAAGTATTCAGATCCTGTAGTCAAGTGAAAGCAGTAATACCAAAGTATGAAGAAGTCCTGCAGTCTAAATGTATTCAAGAAAATTCTACTTTCAGAGTCATGTATTATTATATATGTTAAATTATTGTATTAATATTACTGGTGCATTAATGTGTAAGTAGCTGGTCCAGACAATTTTAGCTGGTTGTCAGTCAGTCGGTCCACTTTGGTCCAGACTGTATCTGAGACGGATGTATTGCAATGAAATTTGGTAAAGAAACTCCCTCAAGACTTTGGCGATCTCTTGACTTTGCTGTTGAGTGAAATTATTGACAGTTATTGAATTAATTGCCATTAAGTTTGGTTCAGACATTCATGTTTCCCACCGACTGAGTTGTACAGACTTTTGGCGCTGCCCTAAATTCCCATCTAACACCATCATCGGGTCAAAACATTCCCAACATTCCCATCAGCCTCAGCTTTACTTTGTGTTTAGCACTTAAATTTAAACCACCGCTTCATATACAAGTATGATGTTGATAATGGGAATATTTTTAGAATATTGCTCTTGATAATACCAGTAGAGACCCCCAAACAAGTTTGAGACCCCTATTTTAAGGCAATATTATATAAGAATTGGTGTTTAGTGCGATTTGGCGCCCCGAGTTTGTGTGCAATTCATTTCTACATCATTGTCGTAGATATGGAGAGCTGTACACATTGCTTCTAATTATATTACTTATGATCAAAAACTAGTGAGTCAACAACTTTTGCTAAGTGTCGTGAAAGCAATGTGCACTAGAGATTTCCTAAAAAAGTAAATGTTTCTCCCTTTGAGATGTAGTGGAGTAGAAGTATGTTCCACTAAGTATTGGTATTTTCCTGCCTCCCAATTGGTCAGAACCCCAGTTGTAACTCTGCACATTAACCCCATAAGCAGAGGTTAAATTGGGATTGGGTATGTGTGGGGCCCTGATTTAGCCGGGTTAACAAGGGTCAGAACCATTACGAATACGCAGCAGCAGCAGCGACAGTAGCAGTTTCATAATAGCAAATTTTACAAGTATAACTGTATTTTTAATTAAAACTGGGCTTAGTTCATTCAGAAATACCCTATATTCAGTAATACAATTAGTCCACACTCTCTCGGTTCATTAGATCCCACATTGGTGGATGTGTTGAGCTCCTCGCTGCAGGATTTCTTTGTCTGCATGTGTAATGGTCAGCGGCCTTTCTAGTACGTGCACATTATATCATCAGAATATGAGGCAGAGCTTTGTCTTGGTTTAGCTCACTTCTGCGTGAGTGACAACATCTGACTGAGCGGCGCTCCACGCCACCCTCTGCTCGTCCACACACACATCAATCACATTATTATGTTCTGAAACAGCGCTGAGTGGGTGGTGAGTGGTGACTGACAGTCATTTCAAGCTACAAAAATGCAGCCAACAAGAGTGGCCATTCAGTATAGTGACTATAAACGAGAAAGAAATGAGTGAATAAATATAAAGTTCCTAAACCTTCTTTCCCTGACTTGGTCTTCTAATGGTTTTCATTACACATCTGTGGGTGTACCAGCCCCCTGCCTCTACCTGTACCTGCACATCCCACTTATATAAACTCTAAAACAAATGTCTCCTCGCAGTGTCTGGAGCGAGCCATGAAGTTCTCATTCAATGAGTTCCACCTCTGGCACCAGCTGGGCCTGTCACTCATGGCGGCCGGGAAGGTGAGCTCATTTCTCCTTATATACCAGCAACAGCCCCTCACACACACACACACACACACACACACACACACACACCACGCCACACCCAAAGGAGACATCCGTCTTCTGCCATACCTCCGTCCTGTACACTGCGGCGCTCCTGACTCACGCTTGTGTTCAGGCGTGCAACAGATTCAGCGCTCAGTGTCCAGTCTGGAGTCTGGAGGAGCAGGTGGGCGGTGTTTTTACTCGATCTGGACAAGTCAGATATTGCCAAGTAAATTAATTGCACAAATATTAGACTAAAAGAGCATTCAAATACCTTATAGGTCTAAAGCAGATCTTTCAAGGTAACCCCCACCCCCACCTGCTACACCATTAATTACTGGAAAATACTATTTTGCTGCTAAACACAGTTAATTATTGTTGTAATGCATAAAAACACTGGACCTACTTCAAATGGGAAGGAGCTGGAATAGCTTAAAATCCTCTCTCTCCCTCTCTGCCTGTCTCTCCCTGTGCCCCAGTGTGTGTGTGTGTGTGTGTGTGTGTGTGTGTGTGTGTGTGTGTGTGTGTGTGTGTGTGTGTGTGTGTGTGAGTGCGGCCATGTGTGTGACAGAAAAATTGATCTGGGTTGCAGGATGAAGTGACACTGCAGATCAATGGAGAGCTCTAGAAATAGGCTGCTCCCTAGAAGGAGAAGGGGGCCGCCTCAGTGTCGTCAGATCCGCTTCTATTTAGGGCCAGCCGTGTGTGTGTGTGTGTGAGTGTGTGTGTGTGTGTGTGTGTGTGTGTGTGTGTGTGTGTGTGTGTGTGTGCGCGCGTGTGAGCGTGCACGTGGTCCATTAATGATTGGCCTACATGTATTAAGTGACTGTGTGTCTAAATGGGTCTATTAGAGCTGTGTAAGGACAGTTGATGTGTGTTTGATACACTCGTTTAAAGGCGATCCATGTCATCTGTGGCTGCACGATAACTGGCTGCTCATGAATCACAATTTGTCAGTGACATGTGTGTATCTGTGTGTGTGTGTGCGTGTGTGTGTGTGTGTGTGTTTCTGTGTGTGTTGCAGGGAGTTGGTGCCGTGTCTGTATTTAAAGAGTGTGCCAGGATGAGACCAGAAGACCCCTCATTGCCCCTATTGGCTGCTAAAGTCTGCATTGGTCAACTGCACTGGGTGAATACACACAAAACATCCATATACACTGGTATAAAGAAGAATTACACACCACACACACACACACACACACACACACACACAAACACATGCAGTTATACTTATGACCTAAAGAATAATTTTTTATGCTACTTGTGCTCTTGCTGTGATGTTTTTGCTCTACATTTCCCAGAATTACTTGTTGCTGTGATAAACATTTATATGGATGAGTTTCTGTAGGTGGAGCTGTTTTCCATGTCTGTTCAGCCATGCATGGTTGCACTGCTGCACTTCCTAACTCCTGCATTTAGAGCGTACATACAGGGTAGCAGATGTTTACTTCTGCATAAAGGAAAGAAAATATTTATTGCTGCAACAGAAAATGTGTTTTTTCTTGTGGACACTCTTCGTCCCTCAAATCAAGTTGTGCTGTACAAAGTGCACGGCACACAAATAGCAAACAAAGGACGATGAAAGAAATGATGTCCATAGAAAGGAATCCCCAGGTTGTTCTAGTGCTCCTAATAGCTTTAGCAAGAATCCACCAGGGCCCGAATGAAAACAACCAATCAGAGTGGAGAAAGATGGGTGATTGTTGAGTCTCATACAGACGCTTTGGGACCATTTTTAATGCTTTTAGCACATCATATTTTCTTAAACACGTAAAGAAGCCATTTAGAAGAGATATACATTTGATAAATCACAACTTTATCATCAGTATAACACATTTTAAGTACTTTATAAATGAGACTAAATGAAAGCATTTAGTTTAACAGGCTTGTTTTTCCCTCACAGTAGCGATAGTTTGGAGACCCCATCTCCTTCTTACAGAACTCACTTTATAAACAAAACAACTTAAGTGCCTTTAGCAGGAGTTAAGGATCTCATATTTCCAACATCACAAAAATAATGTACATTTTTGTGACCCAAATTAAATCTCCTGGGTTGTGACCCAGTCTCTGGGAATTAATGCTCTAAAAAGACCCCTGTTGGTTCCCAGACCCCAGTTTGCAAACCACTGACTTAAAGTACCCATCCAGTCAGTGTCAGCAGAGTCTGGACTTGTCACAAAGCCAAACTGTAATGAATTAAAGGCTCAAATTTCACAGGTTTACAAACCATCTCCATCTGTAACTAATGAATCTGTATGTGAACGCGGAGCTCGTACAGTCAGCGTTGTACAGTCAGCGTTGCCCCCTCAGCCTCAGCAAACACTCGCAAGCTGAAAGGTGAAGTTGCGTCACGGTTCTGCACTACAGGCACGGCGGCTTTGTCGACTGTTTAGTGAGTGTACATAGAAAGTCAGAACACAGCCGCACCGTGTCGCTGATGTTTCGGGATTGACACCGGGGGTCACTCAGGCATCACAGTTGAAGCTCGGCCAGCTTGGATAGTCCTGCTGTTCATGATCTGGACAGGAGGGAGAAAGTCACATCAACAGTGGTATTTAGGGTGGAGGGAGAGAGAGCGAGAGAATGAGCAAGGGTGAGTTAGAGAGAGAGAGAGAGAGAGAGAGAGAGAGAGAGAGAGAGAGAAAGGGGTCAGAGATTAGAAAAGAGGAGCTAACAGAGGCGAATGGAGAGAGCACATCTGTCAGTGGCTGGAGATCATGGAAGGCCGAAGACACTAAGGAGCTTACAGCCTTAATCACAATGGGACACTATGGCCATAGTGCAGTGGGGCATTACATAAATGGGCCACCATTATCCACCATCAGCCCCACTGGACAGTCTGGGCTATTATCTAGCTGGCAGCATGTTGTTTTTTGCTCATAGTGTGGGCCCACAGACCAGACCAAACTTCATAATACATGTTCAGGTTTTTATAACGCTCCTTTTATACATGTGCACGTATGGGACAGTGAAGCATCTTAGGGCTCATGACACCCTCTCTCCAAACGACGTCACCACAAAAAACGGCAAAGCAAAGCTGCTTTTATAAATTCCTGAAGAGCAGTTTTTTAAGAAACAAGGTTTTCGCCCGACAGCAGCGACATGTTCTTCTTTCACACCCATTCAAGGCAGGAAAAAAAGAAAAACGTAATCCTCCTAAGATGAGCATGGACGGGGCTGTGTGTCTAAATGACTGGCTATTGTGTGCAGGCTTTGAACTCGCAAGGACCGGATTCAAAGACACAGAGAGAGGGAGAGCAGAGGAAGAGGATGAAGGGAGGAAGAAGAGGAGGAGGAGGAGGAGGAGGAGGAGGTTGTCAGAGCAGTTGGCTTGCTGTTGCGGTGGCGTGCTGTCAAAGGCATTATCCCCCCCTCCTTATGCCCACCTACCCACCTGCCCGCCACAAGCCATACCTCACACACTGTGACACACTTTTTCCCCGACTCAGAGCACCTCGGCTCAGCTCAGCCACACACCGCCTGCAGACTGCTGCTGCGTGTGTGGGCGAGTGTGTGTGTGTGTGTGTGTGTGTGTGTGTGTGTGTGTGTGTCCTTCAGCAAACTCTGCGTTGTCCTTCAACTGAATCTACTCGGACTGTCCTCACACTAAACTCACACCAGGCTCAGCCGTCAATACTCCGTTCCCTGCTGCCCCTCAGCCATGTCCACGTCTCACACTCGTGTAGGAGAGTCCAGCTTACGGTGTAGCACCTCGCAATGCTGCTGTCATATTGTGAAGCATACTGAGTCTGTGTTTTATATGTATGTGTGTGTGTGTGTGTGTGTGTGTGTGTGTGTGTGTGTGTGTGTGTGTCCAGTTCGAGGAGGCTGAGGCTCTGTCGCAGAGTGTGGTGTCTATGGGGGAAGAAGCCGGAGAATTTCTACCCAGGGCCTACCTGGCTCTGGGACTCTGCTGCAGTCTACAGGCCTCCGAGGGTAAGGACACACAAACTGACAAATGTATATATCCTCTGCAGGAAAACGACAGGGGAAGCAGGGGACATGTGGTTTAACATGAAGGTTTAAAAAGGTTTATGCTAGGCTTAGTGTCTCCTGGCTATTGCTTCATAAGTGATATATGACATTCCCAAACTATTCCGGGCATGACACATTGTTGTCCATTTGTCCAGGACAGGACAAAATGATTTTGGTATAAATTGTTAAATAGGGGAACAGTATAACTGAGGATGTGATCTTAAAGGGTTAAAATTACAGTTTTCATGTCACCTGGACTTTAAACACATCAATTTTTATAAACTTTTGGTTCTGTCCTCTTCTCTCTGCAGCCACTCTGAAAGCTGATCGCAATGAATTCAACAAAAAAGCACTAAATGTTTTGAACAAGTAGGTCCTGGTTCTTCCATTCTCCATCACACGTGTCATATTCATACGTAGCATTTTATCCTCAGCCATGCTTTCAATCCATAAAATGGATGAATTTATAATAACTATTGTGATCAAGTCAAAACAACAAGTCTGTCTAAATGCTTTGGTTTATGATCTGGCACCTGCACAGGTTCAGTGGCAACAGCTACCATGGTAACATGCTAAACTAAGATGGTTAACATGGCATAATCATGTTAGCACTGTCGTTGAGAGCATGTTAGTACATTTAGTAACAGTAACATTTAGCTCAAGGCATGACTGTGCCTAAGTTCAGCCTCTAGGAGTCACTGGTGTGGCTGCAGACTATACGTTCACACTGCAGGCCTTTTTGCCTGACTGTGCTTTGAATGTTTGTAAAGTCAGACCTGAGTCATGTACAAGTAAATAAATTGTCCGGAATCTGACCCAGGTCTTTGGAGTTTATGACAACATATGGCTTTAATAAAAAGTTTACTCTGTTGACTCTCTCCCTCCTCCACAGGGCTCATTCATTAGACCCCCAGGACGCACAGATTGCCATGTATCTGGCTCTGCAGCTGGCACTCGTACGCCAGGTATATCAACAAACGAGAAAAGATATTAACATTAATTATTAGAAAACATTGTAAGTTACACCCGAGAATGTGTGTGTGTGTGTGTGTGTGTGTGTGTGTGTGTGTGTGTGTGTGTGTGACAGGTGTCAGCAGCCATAGAGCCCCTGCAGGCAGCTTTATCTCTCCGCGGGGATGACTTACACTCCCTCCACCTGCTGACCCTGCTGCTGAGCGCCCAGAAACACCACCGTCATGCTCTGGACACCCTGAATCTGGCCCTCAGCCAGCACCCCAGCAACTTCAAGTAAAACCCACTAAACCAGCCCACTCACTCAGGCAGCAGAAAATGTTGGTGGAAGTGTTGGTGAATTGTGGATAAGGCACCGATCGATAGCTGTACGGATGTACTTTTTAGTCTTTATGTGCTGTTCTGTGTGAGTGTGTAAGACTAGCTCGGTGAGTGGTGCAGTGAGGCCCTGTCCTAACACTAGTCCTCTCTGTAGGGATAGGGTGTCTCAGCTCCACTTTGTTGGACACACACACCCACTTGACGCCTTATTTAGACGTGCAAGAGTGGAGGCCTGCATTGCGGTACCTATGCCCCTCATACACCCTTACCCTTTTAACACTGCAGCTCTGACCCGAGCCCTACCGCCACTTCCCGACGTCGTCCCACACATAAAACCACCTGTCTGCTTCACTAAACGGGTTAAAAACACATAAAAACTGATTGACATTTATACTGGGATCATTTTGGGAGCAGTGATCTGCTTTGGGGCACTTTAAAAGGACACGTGGCAGGGATTGAACCTGTGACCTTTCAGTTATGGGTTGGCATCTCTATCACCAACGTTTTCACCCTTCATGTTACTTGACTTAGTTTTAACATGCACATACATGTAATATTATTGCATAATATTGCTTTTTACATTTAAAGAATATCAGATTAACCTTAATTTAGATAAAGTCTAGTCAACAATCTGTTTATCTGCTTGTTCCTACAGTTGGATGTTTGACATTAGAAGGATGTTTTCACATTCATCTGCTGGAAGTGGAAAGTTTCTCCGAGCTCACTGAATATCTGATTTTAAAGGGGTGGAGTCTGGGAGTCAAACCTGGTCCAATATGCAACTTATACAAGTGTGATGTAGAAACTTGAAGCCACCAGTGCACAAACGAACACTGAGACTTTACAGTGAAGGTTTGTGTCCATCAGGAAATGTTTAGAAAATGAACAAGATTTGCATATTTCATAAAGTTTTTAATGAGGTAGAAGGAGAAAAACACTTTTTAAGGATTTTAATAAGGAAATTATACCTTTTTATTTTGCAGAAAAAACACATCAGACACACATTATTGTCTCCAGCTGACTATTTGTATACAGCCTTAATGCATTTCTGGAGAGGCTCTTTAACTTTGTGAGAAATAATTACAAAGACGATGGAAAGTAGGGATGAAAAGACTAAAATGTAAATCTGTATGTCTCTAACGAAGAATTCGTCTTTAAAATAAATTGTTTAAGGCAGGTCAGCAGCAGTATAGGCCTGAAACGCATCCATTATGTGTGAATGAAGCTCCGTCACATCGTAGGTGCACAACATTAATTATCCAGCCCAGTTATTTCACACTAACCATAACATAGAAGTGCGTTGCATCATCTTTCTGATGTGTTTTCTCTCCATTTCAAAACCTCAGTAAAGCATTTCGTAATACAGCCATTTGGGGTCAGTGTTGGCCTCCACGGTCCCAGCACAGACAGATGGGGTACATCCATACATCAGGAGGGAGAGGAAATGCAGGAGGAAAAAAACAAGAAAATAGATGAAACAAGCGAGGGAAGAATGCAAAGAGAGAGCCTGGCAGGAGGAAGAAAACACAGAGACAGAGTGGGTGGATGCAGGAAAGACGGTGGTTTTAGAATTACACAAGCTTCACTGATCAGCTCTGTATGTGTGATTGGAAGATGAAATCTGTTCTGTCTCTTTCTAGATGCACAATCAGACACTTCAGACACACACACACACACATCCTCCGTAGAGACACTTGACTGCTTTGACCCATTTAAGAGCTCTTTTCCGAGCTCAGCCAATCACATCGCTCTCTGCGCCAGGAATCCCCATCGCCCCGGTAACCATGAGGTCATATGGGTAGAGCAGGCAGCATCAGTTGTTGTTCCCAAACTGTTGTTATGGAGCGGCAGAGAGACACTGAGTCAGAGAGGAAGAGAGAGAGAGATATAAATCTATACGCTGCTGAATGGAACAGAGCAGAACTGAATTATAACGAATTAGTCTGCCTGTCTGTTAACTGTATTTTACCTCTATTGATTGATGTTTCTAATAATAATTGTATTGGTTTGTCATGCCCCGTAACTGAGAGAGACACAGACAGTGGAGGCAGTATATGTTTGCCCTAGCCTGACCTGGCTCGGTTCATTTGGGCTTTTAACTGGCCCGGGACCAACAGCTAACAACAGTTTCCGTCCTTCAATCTCTCAAAGTGGAAATAAAAAGTGTAGCAGTGCAGCAAACACGTGGCCGAGTCTCAATCTGTCCATAATGAACGAGTAACTGTGAACATTACTGGAAATATCACAAACCTTTCTAAGCCACAATAGCTTTAGCTTATGGACAGGGCCTCGCTTTTGTGAGGGGTGTTTAAAATATATTTTCTTTCTTGAATTAATAACAGTAACAGTAACATGAGTTTGCACTAGCTAGATAATTTCTAGATGTTTTGATTTATTCTTTTTTTTAGCATTTTCCCTCATCTTTTCTCTCCAGTGCCCCTCGGTGTGCCCTTTCGTATATATAATAATAATAATATGGAAACTTAATCATGGGTAATGTTACAGCTCTCACCAAGCAAGCACCTAGCCAGCAGCTCTCCTCACTGATCAACTGCTAGTCTACTCTCAAGATAATAATAAAAATATGGTTGTGATCAATCACTTTAAGCTGCACCGATCAATATTTTTATATTAAAGCTCCAGTGTGGAGGATTTAGTGGAGGAGTTGAGGATTTACAGATTGACCCACTGCTGGAACCAGCCTCTAGTGGCTGTTAGAGGAACTGCAGCTTTTTGTTACTTCTGGCTTCCTCTGCCGGTGACGGAGGTCGCCGCTTGGCTGTTAACTTGCTGCAGAGCGGTGTGTTTGTGTAAAGCAGGAACTACCTTTAACCATACTGCACAACAACACGTCAGAGATGTTAAAGAAGCTTCTCCCCAAAGCCTGAACAAGAAGCATTGGTTCATCAACTGTTGGGAGGATAGTTCGAAACAGACCTTTGCTGCGTGTCGTACTCTCTCTCTTTCCTATCACTCTTCAGCTGTTAAAGGCAATAAAAATAAAGTAAAACAGCTACGTGATCGTCTCCAAAAGACATTTTGCTTACATTATCAGTAACATTTTAATTATCAGCAGTATTTTAGCCCCAACCTCTGATAGGCACATGGTTATGAATCCAAACCCAGGCCAGAACAGCTCAGTACCCTCGGGACCGGTCGGGATGAGGCCGGGTTGCAGACCTCAGAGTCAGAGAGGAGAGAGAGAGATGGGGGAGGAGGAGGTGTTTTCTCAGTAACAAGCTCATTGAATATCATTTGCTTTGGATGTGTGAGCGAGCATCAGAGATCAAAGCTTGTGCCGTGCATGGTGCTGGGCATGCCGCGACAGTCGAGTGTGTGTGTATACTTGTGGGGGGGGAATGTGGGTGTGCTTGTGTACAAGATCATAATCTGGCATGTTTGTGTGTCCCTGTGTGTGTGTGTGTGTGTGTGTGTGTGTGTGTGCATGCATGTGTGTGATTCTTGTTAGTCACTGCCTCTCTGCACCACAGCAAACTGTCAGCTCGCTGTAGCACACCAAATTCCTCCTTCCTCCCTTTTTCTCTCCCACATCCTCTACCCCCGGCTTCTGTCTTTCTCTCTCTCCATCTCCTCCTCTCTCTCTCTCCCTCTCTCTCTTTCTTTCTCACCCTCTCTTTCTCATCTTTTTTTATCTCTCCGTCTCCGTTTCTCCCTTTTCTTTGAAATTTTAATCACCCAGTAAACAGGCATGCATTTCAATGTGAAATGGGATTCTGCTACAGATTGAGAGAGCTGAGGCGAGAGAGGGAGAGAGGGGGAGGGTTGTGTGTATGTGTGTGTGTGTGTGTGTGTGAGAGAGAGAGAGAGAGAGAGAGAGAGAGAGAGAGAGAGAGAGAGTGATCGTGGTCTCGCAGTTTGTACTAAAGAGAATGATTAATCCCAGCCTTTGATTCTGCATTCATCTAACGGGATGTTGCAGCATGAGCAAGTGTGTTTGTGCACGTGCACGTGCACAAGTGTGTGTGTGTGTGTGTGTGTGTGTGTGTGTAGTTCAGCCTGACACACATGTCTGCACAGGCTTGTGTGTGTTAATCTCTATGCATGCACTGTACATATATATAAATATATAAATATACTTGATGTGTGTGTGCACTTGAGTGTGTGCATGTGCCTGTAGAGAATACACACTCTGATCTGTGGGAGTGCAGAATGAGTAATACTGTAGATGTACCACTTTTTCAAGGGAACATTATTAGCTATTTTTATACAGAGTTTACCCTGGCACTCACCGCTCTTAGCCGGCCACCGCGTTTAGCTACAGCGCTCGCTGCCATCCGTCCTCAAACACTACGCTCTGCACACACCGTGCAGGCTCTCTCCCAGGAGGCTGCATGGGGGATGACAGCCTTTGTAATCTGACGTGTAGTTTTGAGTGCTGTAATCTTGATGAAATCTATCTTTTCTGGTGCTGCGAGGGAAACACAGGGCTGTGTGATCGAGTGCTGAATAACAAGGTGGAAAATACTCTCTCCTTGGATGACTTAGATCTGTTTGCTATTACTTTCTGTGACGTACAAAGTGAAATTATTTTGACTTAATTGCAAAATTCTTGCAGCGAGAATAAAGGCTTTAGCTTATATTTTTCATAATTTCTCCAGTTTTTATACATATATTTCAGTACAATGTCCCCCTTTTCCTGATTTGCTACATGTTGACCTGCTGTTGATGCAAACTTAAAGTAATATATAAGATTTAGAGCATTAATATAGCAGAAAACGATAAGACATAGTGGAGTTACAGCATCCTGAGCACTCCCTCTGTGTGTACCTCGAGAATATTTTGACATTTAACTGTGAATTAAGAGTTTATTTTGACTAAACCAGCGTTGGTGATTGTTGGAAAGTCTGTGGAAAGACTAACACAGTTGGTTTGGGGTTTTTTTTTGGGGGGGGCTTTTAGTGCCTTTAATGGATAGTGACAGCTGAAGAGTGACAGGAGAGTGGGGAGAGAAAAGGACATATGACAGGCAGCAAAGTGCTCATGACGATGTTTTACGATGCTGGTTTCAGAGTGTTTTTCTCCATTCTGTATTCCCATTTAAATGTTTTCTTTCAACAATATCCTCAGTGTTAACATAGAAAGACAGGACATTGCAAGTGAAGTGACTAGTTTTCTCAACAGCATAATCTTTAGCTTCCACCTGGCGTTAGCGGCACATGTGACTTTTTCTAATGTAGTTATTAATCTTTCAGACTGATGATTAAACCGGAAGAGTTTCATGATGAACTCGGGTTTAGAAGAGCTCCAACTGAGAGTCATTAGCTATGGGAAAAATGAATCTATCTGCACAGATATGTCACCTTAAAAAGGTGCTTAAAGGACATAATGCGTCTCCTTCCCGCTGGGCTTTCATTGCGAAGTTCATTAGTAATAGTAAGATGTCTCCCTGCTTTCTCTGTTTGCTATCAATACGTACCAACATTTCCACTGCAGCCTCTATAAGCTCAATGAAATTCTACCCTTTCTGTGTGAATGTGGCTCAAAGGGAATAATCCCTCCCTTTCTTGGTAGGCTATTTAAAGTGAAAGAAAGTGGATCCAATCCCAGTTGTGTTACGTTTCCAAGTTGATGCAATGTTTTGGCCTACAGGGTCTTCAAGTGAACAAAAAACAGGCTATAAGAACTCCACTTACAGAGAGGAGTTCATGTGATACAAAAGAACTTATAATAACTTTATTATGCACAAAATCCCCTAACCCTGAACACAACATAGCCCTAATTCTTTTTAACAAGTGTTAGTAGTTATGTGTTTACACAGAGACACAGAGACCTCACCAGCATTGCTGCAGGGTTTTAGAAATACAGAGGTCCAAAAGCTGAACTTGCTACGGGGGAAATGGGGCATAAAAGCATCAAAGTAGTTATTTTTAGCCAATTATTTCTCAACTTTTATTGTATACCCTTTGGAAAAAATACAGAGGTCCAGACCTTGGTGACCTCAGTGGTCGGTGCAGCTCAACGGAGGTGGCAGTACGCGATAAGAAGTGAGAGAACCAGCCCGGGTTTCAGGTGCTGCTTTGTGTTGAACATCCAGGATACACAGCAAGAGTCAGTTCTCTGTACGTGTGATATACACCCACACACATACACCTTGTCACATTTTAACACTAGGATGGGTTCACACCATCACAATGCTTCTAAATGCTTTGCTGCCACACTGGTAATGGGGAGCCTAGAGCACACACACACACACACACACACACACACTCCGGTGGACCCCTACTGGCAGGCGTATCCTTAACACAACGTCCCTCGGCAGCACTTGTCATCCGCACATCAGAAAATCCAACCCCCTTCCTCCCACACACATACACTTTTCTTTTCCTACATCCCTCCATCTTCTCCTCACACACACACACACACACACACACACACACACACACACACCCTCCCCCCGGTCGTCCACCGACCCGTGAGTCGGTAACGAGCCGCATTTCACCGAGAGTTTTCTCCCCTGACACAAGCTTGTCTCGCTCAGCTATTGATCGCTCCCTCCTTCACTTCATCCATTTTTTTTTTCATCCTTCCCTTTCACTCTATTTGCCCCCCACCCCCACCCCCACTCCCACTCCCTCTCCCTCCCCCGCCCTCACCCTCTGACAGGAGAGTACAGAATAACTGGAGGAGCCTTCAACAACAGGGGAGGCAGAGGACAGCTATAGGCAGGCCGGCGTCAGATGTAACGAACCCCTATAGTCTCTCTCTCTCTCTCTCTCTCTCCCCCTCACACTCATGGATGAGTGATGCCCATGACAGACTGCATCCTCTGAGAGCCCCTTCTGGCAATTACAACACACACACACACACACACACACACACACACACACACTCACACACACACACACACACACACACACACACACACACACACACACACACACACACACACACACACACACACACACACACACACACACACGTTCTCATCAGAGACTCCCACATCACTTAACCAGTTGTCTTCAACTAAAAGGGCCGAGCGGAAACACTCTACGGCCTCTACTCATCAACCTCTCAACACACACACACACACGAACACACACTCTTAGAGCTTGTTGATGACCATCTTTATCCCCCTCTCTCTCTGTTTCTATTGATCCATGTGGGCTTCAGTCGGCATGCAGCAGAGACACGTTGATGGGTCCTGAGCACTTACTCAGCTACTGTAGGAGCTTATGAACACGTGTGTGTGTGCCTGTATTTTGTATTGTGTTTATTTTTATAACCAAATAAGCGACTGTCAGCTGCGGCCCGCTGTGATATCGGCTAGTTTCTGGTGAAATGGCAAATTTCCGGCTGTTCTTCTTCCCACTGAATATCATGTTGTGTGTGCATACTGCAGCTAATGTGGTCAGTGACAATAAGGACAGGTTTGACTGGTTTGAGTCCAACTATAAAACTCCTTCAGGCTCATTTACTCAGTTTATAGGTTGGTTTCCATACAGGTAACAAAACAGCTGAGGCTCTTCTCTATGGAAGCCGTCAGTAAGTCATTATAGTGAGAAACTTTCTCCAAATATTAACTTAGTATCTCAAAATAGTGACATTATGATACAAGAGACCCCTTTTCTATCATTTAGTAAACTGACTCAGTTACATATTTTATGGATATTTTACTGTTATATTAAAAACTGCACAATGAACCCAAACAGTGAACTGCAGGAAGTTTGTGTAAAACGAGAGATTTGGATGAATGATGAGCAGATTATTTCCTGTTTCGGGAACTTTTTATACAATTCTCTGTCTGTATTATATATTTTTTTTCATTTTGTCAGTTAATTTAACTAAAGAAATTGTTGAAACTGATAACATCGAACATGAAGTAACTTAATTAAGTAAAACTAACTTAATTAAGTTAATTAAGTAAATTAAAAAACATTCTGAATCAAGTCATTTTAAGTGAAATAAAACAGGAACAAGCAGCATAAGATTAAATAAAGGAATGTGTGTGTTTTCTGTTCCAGTCTGCTGTTCACGAAGGTGAAGCTGGAAGAAACCCTCGTCGGTCCAGCCGCAGCCCTGCAGACCTGTGAGGAGATGCTGCAACACTGGCAAATCCGCTATGACGTCAGCCGCTCCAGGTGAGCGTGCACGATGCGAGACGTGTGTTTGTGCTTTTTACTGCTGGGCATGATGAAGGGGAAGTCTTCTGCTGCTGTGGTATTGATTATCTATATTGTGTTAGTGTGTGTGTGTGTGTGTGTGTGTGTGTGTGTGTGTGTGTGTGTGTGTGTGTGTGTGTGTGTGTGTGTACTCATGCATTTCTGATATATCCTGACCCGGGAATTATTAGGTTCTATCCGTTCTATCTGGGCAGTTTGAGATATTGCGCTTCAAAGTTGTCACATCGTAGATTAACTGATGTGCAGTAAAGTGCTGTATTATTAATCATAATAACAGGAACCCTGAAGGTACTCTAATTATATATATATATATATATATATATATATAATATCAGCATCCTGTATCAGTTTAAACAGGGTTTTCTAGAAGAGGTGGTATGTAGATTGAACCTTTTACACTCGTGTTTTTGCTTGACATTATAATTTTATATCCATTAATTCCTATTTTTCTTGCAAAAAAGTGTCAGTTTATACTCATTCTTTGTTATAAAACACAGAATCTGTGCATTAATGATTACTGAAGTGTGTAATGGTAGAAGATATTTGTTCACACACAACAATTCAGGCACGTTTTTGAATTTAGAAAACTAATTTGAATGAAAAATACCATTGAAACAGTTTAATTAACATTCAGTTTCAAAGAAATGCAAGTGAGATAAATTCTTCCTCAACAGCTCTTTATAATTACTATTTTTTTGATGACTCATTAATAAATTTTTATTTTGTTTCTAAATGTAGCATGAAGGGATTTATATCATTGTACAACCTTGCACTGTAAGTGACAATAAAATAACCTTTTCTAGTATTTTTTAGAATTATCCGTGCGTGGAAAACGTGATTGTGAACCATCATACTAACCTACTTTACTTTATATTCATACACATATATATGCATATATGTGTATGAATATGTGTACAGTACATATATACGTAGGTGTATTTATATGTAGGTAGTGTATCTAGTTGCAACATGCAACATATAAATACAGTGTATATATATATATTGCTTGCTATAATTTTTCACTATAAAATATATAAATATTTTAAACATTATATGTAAATAAATGTAAAAATATGTAAATTCTTGCACTCTTGCAATAAAGTATTAAATAATACTTCTACTACTAATAATAGTAATAGTTTCTCTTTATAGTTCCTTCTTATGCAACCAAAGTTAGAGACTTTCCTTTTCTCAAAAATGTCCACTGATTTATAAATCTGAAAGTAAACCTGCAGGTACGTTAATCGCCAGTCAAAGAATAGTTTGATGTGAATAATTCATAGAATCCACAGAATCCAAAGGTTTCTACGGTGCATTTCTGAGTGTGTTTGTTCATAATGTTTACACTGTACATATGTTCACTGGTGCGTGTCTGTGCGTTGCAGCGAGACAGACGACAGCAGCAGTATACCGATGGCGGAGAGGGCAGAGGTCAGCCCCGGAGGCAGGAAACCCTCCATCCACCTCACCCTGCCCGACTTCCAGGACGCCTCCACCGGTCTGCTCTCTCGCTGGTTAAACTCTTCCTAATAAGCGACCGCCACTGTACATATTTGGATTGCGACATTCTGAATTGATTATTTTTAAAGTTAAACACATCCTGGTTTTTTTCTGCGGTGTTGGGTAAATACCAGTGAGAAAAGGTGAACGTGTAGGTCAGCCCGAATCCCCCAGCATTTGACCTATTGTGGATTAGAACAGTGTTTGCCTGTCTGCGACCCATTTTCGGGGGGGGGAGCAGATGTGCTGTTTAAATATCAATGATGTGACTCACCTCCACACCTGCGTTTCAGGCAGGATCAGGGTGCCATTCAGTCACAGGAAATCCATTGATGTTCTGAAAATTAACAGAGAATGAATGTTTGTTTTTCCTCACCGCGGCTCTCTTCTGTCGTTGTGTTGTTTTCTGATGGGAAAAGAACAACGTTTCATCATCATATTTGAAGGGTTTTGAATTGAATTTGAATGTTTTTACTTTATATTTGGTATAAAATATTGTTTCTATCATTCAGTATCTGTAACATATTAAAGCGCATATTGTGTTTATCACTTTGCCAGACAGGATTTAGTTTCCCACTGTTGCTTAATGAGGTACAATAAGTTTTAGCTCTAATTATCTTATGCCTTCACTTTGCTTTTACAGGTTCGCAGAGCCCTTCGTCTGTTGCGGCGTCTCGTCTGGAAGCGGCGCTCTCTGAGGTGTCAGACATCAGCTCCATCCGTCGCCAAGGACCCACCTATATCTGGGCCACGCTGGAACGCATTTGGCTGCAGGCTGGTAAGACAACAGCACACACGACTATGTACTTTCTCTTTTCCACTCTTGTTTGGGGTGCAGGTCAGCCAATTACCATGCAATCACAGCATGTGCTACATGTGAGTTAATTTGCAGTTGATCTGGGAGAACAGGTATGTATATATTTATTGACTCAAGGATGAAAAAGAAGTTGGCTCTAAGAGGAAACTTTTGTTTGAAAACTGGCGATCGACAGTAATCAGATTCCACGGTTTAGTGTTTCCCAGTGTTATTAAGCTTTATGAATAATAATCCCATTGGCAAGTGCAAAATGATATTGATTTCAGACAATTCAAGCTTTCCAGTTCTCCTGTTTTTATTTCAAAGACTTCTGCAATAAATATAACAGCAATGGTAGCAGCTGTAAAGGTCTATAAACTCTAGCTTCTGTTCTGTATGTAGTTGAGTTGAGTTCTTACATTATCCCAAATGTTTCCAACAATGTTGAAACTCAGAGAAATCTGTCATTTTATTCAGGTAACGCTGCGTTTCACCAGTCGCCTGTCGATGGCGTCATATCCCCTTTGTGCCTGCGTCAGCGTTGTGGTTGTCTGCCAGAAGCTGTCATACATTGACTGTTGATCCAGTCTGAAGCCACATTGTTACCATCCACTGTTTAGATCTTGGTGCTTTTTAACTCTAGATTTGAACCAGATGAAGGATTTTAGTCATCGGACGTCTGGATCTTAAGTTATCAGAGAAACAAGCTGAGCTAACGTTAGCAGCAGCTCGGCTCGCAGCCCCTCCTGGACGTCCTTTGTCTGTCCAACAGCGTGGGAGAAGCAGTGATTTTTAAGGTGGAACTGCTTTATTCAGTGTGTTTAGTGGTTTTAATCAGCGGGTCTGTTTGTTTTGGAGAGGAGGAGACCTCTGTGGATAACTGGGCTTTCGGTAGAAACCTCCTGAATGATGAACACTCTCATGGCGATGACCATAAAGCCAAACTCAAGTCTTAAAAACGGTTCTCCACAAACCAATGGGTGACGTCCCTATAGGTTCACACTTAGGGGAACCTCAAGGATCAACACTTAGACCACACAAACTCGTGATTAAGCATCCTGTATCAGTCAAATATTTCCTTCCTTTCATGGCCACAGTAGGGTGGGATAGGAATTACCTCATCACATAAATTCAAATCAAACTAGAAGATAAATTGGAATATCTGATGGCAACTTTTGAATGAAAATCTTCCCCACCCAGGCGTCTGTGTTGTGCAGATGCTACTATGAAAGCTGTGTGCAGCTTACTGACCTGCTTACAAGCTCAGTTGAGTTTCAGTCTCTCTGGGGAGCAAGATATCGTTTATTTGCTTGGTACAACGTGAGCACACATTTTTGTCACGTTTTGAGCACTGCAGCCACAGAAATCCACTTCAGGTCACCTACATATGAACGGCTGGAGAGCCCTGCGTCGTAACATAACGGATGTAGATAGAAACAAGATAGATTTGTAACCTTGTTATTGTGTAAAGCTACATAATTTAATGTGATTACTGCAGCTATTTTCTGTTATCTCTTTAACAATTTAGTGGGTAGAACCATTTCGGTCCCATTCAAGACTGCATCCCGTTTGTAGCAGTGCACGCTGTACCTGCATACATGTGGCCGCTGTGCTATTAAGGGCAGAATGGCAGTGATGCATACCGCTATTACTTCCACCCCTTCAGCCTCAGTCTGCCTGTGGAAGTTCACAGGAGAGCAGAGCGCTGAAACGAAGGGAGAGGAGTTGCTCCAGCACAAACAGCACTCCATCCATCCACTCAGCTGGAGTGGGTGAGGCATGGGAATGGGAATCCATACAGAGTAAAAGCGGTGATGCAACCAGCATACCGATGTCTTACAGTGCGGGATGGGGGATGGGGGGGGGGGGTCACGTCCCCTGAGGCCTACTGTAATGTGAGGGTCATTCTCTATGTCCAACCTTTGAACTCTGCTGAGAAAATAGAAACATGCTCGCTGCTGTTTTGAACTACGTGTGTGTACGTGTGAGACCACTGGGTGTGTCTCCTAACTCAAGTCTGAGCAAGTTGTACCCCCCTTCTCGCCTCCCGAATCTCCCCTTCCCAGCATTCCTCTTCTCATCGGTCACTTCCTCTCTCAATCTCACATCCTAATAGGAAAAAAACACACTCAGAGATCTCTTTAAAGTGGATACACTCAGCTTACAAACACACACACACACACACATATACCTGCAAACGTATACAAGGAATGCATACATGCACGCACAGATCGGATAGAGCTCAGGTGAGGAGCAGGGAAGGGTCTTACATAACCAGAGAGCATTCGCCGAATCCTTTTTCCCCGAAGTGGAGCTATGAAAAGGAACCCCGAGGCTGGGAAATGGCTCTTTTTCATCTCACAGAGGTAGCATGCACGCACTAAGTATTTCCCATCTGTGCATCTATGAGACACAGGTAAACAAACAAAACATCCGCTACCAAACACACACATGGGTTCACATGGCGCTCAGGAGCAGACGGCGTGTACAATATATTTGCACAACACAGTTCACTGTCTCTCCCTGTAACACACAGCGCTGTCAGTGTTTGAGACTTTCTTTCTCAGGGTTTTTTTCTGGGTGTTGACCCAGCGTCCACAGAATGATTGACAGCCCCCTGCGTCAGCATCCTGTCCAGTTATTGGTCCTCTCCAGCCCCAAGGGGCGGGGCTTGGGGTCTAGTCTTATTGGACAATGACATGCTTGTAGGCGTGATTCTTTGTGTGTGTGTGTGTGTGTGTGTGTGTGTGTGTGTGAGTGTGTGTCTGGGGTTTGTCCTCATCTTCCCAGCAGCAGCAAAGAAAGGAGGCAGGCAGCTTTAGTATGTGATGGCCATATTTAGGCAAGACTTTCATGACTTCCCAGGCACTACGTTTCACCCGCTCTTTCACGATCTGTGTGTGAGTGTGTGTGTGGATCCATCCAAGTGTAGTGTTTTGTGTTTGTATTTGAGTGCTGCACAGTTTACATTTTAACATGATGCTGCTGAACTCACAGTTAAGTCATCTGTCGCTCTCAGATTAATACAGTTCTCTCATTTTCTCCCCCCTCTTTACCTCTCCATCCCTCCCTCTCCTCTCCTCTCCCCTCTCACCTTTCTCTCCCTCTTCCTCCTTCAGGGGAGTTGTTCATGGCGGATGGCCGGCTAAAGGAGGCCCAGTTCTGCATCGCCGAGGCCAGTGCGCTCTTCCCCAACTCGCACTCTGTGCTGGTGCAGCGGGGCCGCCTGGCCGAGCTCCGGGGCCAACTGGACGAAGCCAAAGGCCTGTATGACGAGGCCCTGGCCATCCATCCCACAGGAGAGTGCATACTTGTGCACATGGTGAGAAACAGTTCAAACTTTAGAGTAGCGGTTTCAGATTCAAACTGGCTTGGGGCCACTGCTGGTATTGGTTTGTGCCTCGGCGACAGAGGAAGGTCACAGAAATGTTTACATCCTGTTAGATCAACTTTAGGCTGCATGTAGTATTTAGACAATGTTTGAATATATAAATAAACTTTATTATTATTATCAACCACACAAGATCTGTTTGTTAACAGATTAAAAACAGCTACAAGCTACAGTTAAATATTAATTTCACACAGAAAATTAGGAAAATGTGATGGACAGCAACTGCGGCGCTAGAGCCTGGCTCTAAAACCTGCAGCCGCCTCGATCTCATGTTCGCGTGTTCTCGACGCCAAAGTGAGTCGGACAGAAATCTAACCGGTCAATCGATTCTGCGTCTGGCTCATCACAAGCGAACCTATAGTCATCTCACAGGAGAGCCACTGGACGTTCAAGTACTACAAGACTGCAAACAGCTGTTTATATACATTTTTATTCAATTCAATTCAATTCAATTCAATTTTATTTGTATAGCGCCAATTCATAACAGAAGTTATCTCAGGACACTTTTCAAATAGAGCAGGTCTAGACCGAACTCTTTATAACATTATTTACAGAGACCCAACAGTACCACCATGAGCAAGACCTTGGAGACAAGATTGTCACGGTTGTGGAAGAAGCTGAGTTGCGGTACACGAGGAACTTGAACCCAAATGTAGACCAGTAGAACAAGAGCAGTTCAGATGGTTTAATGACGAAAAAGTTACAGGTCCATGAGGCAGCGAGTTGAAACAATCAAATCAAAGTCAACAGGCAAAACCCAAGAACAGAGGAAGAGTAGTCCATAAAACAAGAGGAAACCAGAGGGAGCAGGAAGAATGCTACACACGTGAATGAGGACGAACTAACGAATGAAACAGAGAAACTCAAAGACTAAATACACAGGTGAGGGGAAGGAAAACAAGACCCAAGACAGGAAGTAAATAACTGACTTTATATCATCATTTTATATAATCTTTGTTGTTTGCAGCCAAACAACTAAAAAAGGCCTGAAACCGGCTCTCTGCTTATCAACCACTCGCACGCATCTGTGGGAAGCTTTGACCTTTTTCCATTATTTTACACCAAACAAAATCAATTTTTAAAAGTGGACTTGTGTTTTCATTTGAGCTGCATATAAAGGGGTTCTTTAAACTGATATGAAACCATTAGAAATTGGGCAGATTATATTATAAGTTTTTACGTCATGTCGCAGGCTGGAGGGAGAACTGGAAACGGTTAGAGGCTGCTAAATTAAATTAGAATTAATGTAATATTCTGTTCAGTGGTCAGTATGCACACACACACACACACACACACACACATAACATGCATGGATACACAAACACATTTTAAATGCTTTATTAGTCTATTAAATTACCATTTATGTAAGATGCATATATCAATGTAAGAAATATATAAATAACAATTTTAGAAAAGAAATATGTATATTCTCAGTCAGAATATATTTGTGGACAAAGTGTATTATTCAGTTTAAAATGGTATTTTCAAACTAAACAGGTTTATAAATAAATCAGATAGCATTGTCTTTGCTGTGAGAGGAGTCAAAAATCGATATCAGGTGGAATATCTGGGATGCTTCATCGCAGCGTTCGTGTATCCTGGCATGTTTAATCAATAGATAATCAATAGCTCATTAGGATGAATCAGGTGTGCTGGTAGAGCTGCACACACCCCTCCTTCTGTTTTTTAAAGGCTGTGCACTAGTTTATTCAACTATATGGAGAAGGTGGAAGCAGAAGACACATAAATGTTAAATGTTAAACTCAACAACAATGATTAGGCTAGTTCGCTGTTAGCTGCTAATATTAGCTGGTGAGCCGGGGCGTGGGTGTGACAGCTGCTCATAATCATTACCCATTCTCTCCCGTGTGCAGCGCTGCACTGTGTCAGCGGTCATTATGGTCTTAATTATCACATTATAGCTCAGTCGTATTTGGAGATGTGTTAATTCGTTGTGGGCAAATTTCAGAAAATAGAAACAAACAAACTTTGGTCCGCAACCAGCGAATGACAAACACTGCTCAAAGACTCGCTTTCTCCCTGCTGATCACTCCCCCACATTTCTTTCATCCGAGTGGATCCTCTCTCTCTCTCTCTCTCTCTCTCTCTCTGGCTTCCGCACTATAAAGATCCTCTCTCGCCCACTCCCACCCACTCCCTCGCTCAGTCTCTCTCCCAGTCTGCCTTCCAGATGATCCACTGGATTAACCATAGCTGCTCTGACCTTTGAACTTTCTCTGTTGTCATGGTGAAGGGGCCAGAGAGGGATATTCCTCAAATCCAAGACTCACACTGCCCGACACGCGCTCACACACACTTATACACACACACACACACACAATGTCTACGGTCTCCATAGTGACCATAGATGTGCTGGTTGATATCTCTTCTGACTTTACTGTGACCACATAAGGCTAATGCTTTTGCTCCTGCTGCACGCTTTAGCTGTGTGTGTGTGTGTGTGTGTGTGTGTGTGTGTGTGTGTGTGTGTGTGTGTGTGTGTGTGTGTGTGTGTGTGTGCAGCGCAGTGCAGTCCCATTGGGGTAGACGGAGGTACGCGTCTCTTCCATATTTGGCCTGTGGGAGAACCAATCCCAGGGGGTGAAAAGCTGAATCAGAGCCAGCTGGCAGTGTCCTACTCTGGGTCTCTTACAGGGCAGATGTGTTCTCGGTCTGAAAGTGTGCGTGCGCATGTGTTTAGGAACGATTGTGTTTGTGCCTTCCTCCGTGGATTTGGCGCACATGTGGACAGTTTGTTTTTGGAGTAAAAAGAACTTGGATTAAGACACATAGTAGTCGGCCTGAGCAAAGGAGCATAATTCAGTTCAGGGGGAGTAAAGTTCAAATGTATCATCGTACAGTCCCTGCAGTTAGAGATTATATTTAAAGCTGCAGTAGGTCATTTTTATAAAAAATATCCCGACAATAGTTCATGAGACAGATAATCTGTAAAAAGGAATCAGGCTCCTGTGGCTCCTCCTAGTGCTCCTAATGGCATTCATAAGAATCCACCGGACCCGAACGAACACAACCAATCAGAGCCGAGATAGATATAAAGACACTTTAGGTTGGAGGCTTGAAGACAGATGAATGAGACTCAACAATCGACTCTCTTTCTCGGCTCTGATTGGTTGTTTTGTCACCTTAGAATGAGAAGTTTTTATCTACAGACGCTGCTGGTCGCCTTCCCTGGAGTCTGCGCCATGTTGGACCGCCATGTTTCTACAGTAGCCCAGAACGGACAAACCAAACACTGACTCTGGATAGGTGTAGTGTTTTGTGGCCACCGTAAGTTGCTCCTGCATTTGCCGAAGCTGCGATCCGAAATTACGCTGCTAGATGGCGCTAAATCCGACACTCTGGACCTTTAAAACAAAAGCACTCACATGACACTAATAGACCCAAATACAAACAACGCAGCTCTGCAGAATACTGTATGGATTATTTATCAGACGCTAATGGAGCCGTGTGGTAAATAGCTGCATCTTTGCATTGTGATGGAGCCTAAGTGGGACAGTGTGTGGGACATTTTATTTGGAGCGCTGCCCATATTTCTGGCTTGTACCAGCCTGCCAGAATACAACCTACAGTTGCTGCTACTCTGTGGCTTTGTGCATTTATTTTTATACTGTATCTGCTGTGGACACTTTGTGTGCCGGTGGCCCATTTATTCTGCTCTGCCTGAAGGGGAATTCTGATGATATTCTTGGTTGATATTCTTACACTTGAGCTATTATTCTGCAAAAGTACATACTGTACTTTCCTTGAATGTCCTTAAGATCTTTTTTTGTGTTATTAGGGCAACAGATAAAAGGCGACGTACCCCTGCTGTGGCTTCACAATGAAATTCTTGAGTGAGTTTCTTTGTGGATTTTTTTTTTTTTATGGAAGCAGTATCATCATGAGTATCAATGTGAAGCCTCTAGAGCTTAAAAAATACATTTTATTGAGGTATATTTGGGCCTTTTTTGAGAAGCTTATAGTGGAGATATAGACAGGAAATACTGGGAGAGCGCAGGTCTAATCAAATAAGTTATATTTTCCTCAATTTCTTCAAGATTTTATAATAACTTAAACATTTAAGGTTTATTTTTACACAAAAAAACACTTTTTGTACACAACTTGTACCTGAATATAAGAGTATTGGCTGTATTTAACCCTGGTCCATGGCACAGTGTTGTAGTTTGGAGTTTGGTCCTGCCTCACCTGCACACTATTTTTATGCTGTTTTATCTGCAACTGTTGATTTTCCACTTTTCTACGGTGGCCCAGAGGCATCAACGAAATGCAAAAGTGAGCAACAACAGATGTTAACAGTGAAACGGGGCACACAGATATTACATCCCTTCTCAAACAGTCAAGAACTTTGTACTTTCACATATGTTGGCAACAATAAAAATCCAAAAGATGAAGTGACATTCAACATAAAAACACAATTTTGTCGTGATTTTGGATTTTCTTTGGTTATTTCCTGTTTTATTTTGTAGTTTTCCTCCTCCTTGTGTGCCGTCTACTTCCTTTACTCCTGTTTCTTTTTGCCTGTTGACTTTTATTCGACTGTTTTGGACTATTGCCTCATCATTATGTAAGTTTATGTTTCACCACCACCTGCTGCTGCTCTGCTAGTCTGCATTTGGGTTCAAATCCTCGTTTCCACACGTGTGACACAAAATATAAAACGAGCTAAAATAACGACGCTGCAAATTTCTGTCATCAGTCCGTTCAACCCTGTTAAAAAGGTCCCAACCTGACTTCTGTAACATTTAAAGACTTGATGTATTCCACAACGTCGCACCAGAACTCGTATCTGTGCGTTAAGCAAGAGCCAGGAGGCAGTTTAGCTTAGCTTAGCATAAAGACTGGCAGACGCAAACAGAAATGGACCTTTTGAGTTTTTATTGGGAGTTACGTGCTGCAGCCATTTCTTGGCA